ACTGATGTACTCTTAACAATAACTTGACATATTGATATTTGGCATATTTTATTAGTGTACCTTTGTATATTTCGTATAATGTACCCTCATATAATTCGGTTCTGTGTACTCAGATCTGAACGAGCAGTGATAATGTGTTGCGTAAAACTATAACTAATTACTAAATATACTACTAAGCTATCAACTTGTTGCAGTGACAATATGTTGCATAAAACTATAACTAATTACTAAATATACTACTAAGCTATCAACTTGTTGCAGTGTAATATGTTGCATAAAACTATAACTAATTACTAAATATACTACTAAGCTATCAACTTGTTGCAGTGTAATATGTTGCGTAAAACTATGACTAATTACTTAATATACTACTAAGCTATCAACTTGTTGTTTACAATTCTGATTTAGTTGCTTGTTCGTTTTATCACAAGGAAAATGTAATTGTCAGTGAAAACATTTATTTACCGTTCGTTATTTATGAAAATAATGTCAAACTTCGTTTGCATTTCGGCTCTTTTTGAGTCATCGATAGTATATTCCTGTATTATTTCTAGATATTTCGCAACATTCATAAACATTTACCAGCGTGGTAAATTTATTCAACTATTCTTACGAAAGTGCTTGTGTCAGCTTACTTGCATAGCAGGTTGAGCCATCTGAAATTGCACTTACTTGACCTCCTTTACACAGATTCTATTGGTTGATATTTTTTATGATTTATTTCGCTATTTTTCTCGAGCTTGTACAGGTTTCGCAAAAACATATTTTACTCTCAGTTTAAGAAAGGTTTGTGCATGTGCGACGTGCGATGATGTATTTCGTTTTGGAAATCGTAAGTAGGGTTTGTGCATTGTTTATTATTGTACACAAAGTTATTGTTGTTCTACGACCTTTCTGTATTGAACAATTTGTTGATTCTGAGGCTTTTTTTACACAGGAAGAGGAGTTTTTGCAAGATTGTAAGGAAATTATAAAAATGTCCCGCCAAATTGTAAAAATGCCACACATATCATTTCTGCATATCACCGAACAAGATTATTTATCTACGATCATGTCTGCACGTTTTTATTCGCTGGATAAAAGGATCTAACTTATGCACATGAAATCATGTTATGTGGTATTCTGTAAATTATTGTCTAAAACATCTATTACACAGAAATTTTAGTTCACATATTTGTAACGCGCACATGTGTTCATCAACACAAAGGCCAAAAAACAGTTTCTTGGTGAACATCAATAATGATCGCGCGCGCCTTTAAGAAGTCTGACGGACGTGACGTCTGAATTAAATGGGCCATTATTGGTCACTACCTGCAGTATTATGGACAATGGCTCTCACTCTATCCAATACACAGTACCTTAGTACTCTTAACCGGGAACATTTTATATATATACACTTATAGTAATTTGTAATACCGTGTTATACTGGGCATTGCCGTTTTTCCTTGAGACGTGGTCCAAACTTAGAGGTATCGAAACTTAGAGGTATTGCCTGCTAATTTACTATTTATCCCCCAAGAACCTGATAGTTGTTCAAAATAGATACTTTAGGTATCAAATTTACATAATTGTATCGCATAATGTTTTTTAATAGCTATATTATATAATATTTGTTATTTAATCATTCCCTGAAAATCACTTTATCTCAAATCCAGTTGTATAAAATTTTGTTAAACAGGATTTAAAGTATACAGAATGGCACTTCAAAGCTCTTTATCCGACCAAATCTCTCTGCTCATCTCAGTTCGCTCACTCGGTGATTTCCATAAATTTAGAATTCACAAGCCCCGGCCGTCATAATCCTCTACCCTGAATACATCTCATTGTGGCTATACCTCTCCCACCACAAGGACGGGTCACTCTCTCATGTTTTATTAGTCACTCTCTCATGTTTTATTAGTCACTCTCTCATGTTTTATTAGTAATTACTCCAGGGAGAGTACATGTGTAAGTGACTCTCGGTGTCCCTGCTTGGTTTATTTCTGTTGGAGAGGAGCCAGGAGGGTTGGAGAGGGGGCTAGTATTGCGTTGGAATCAATACACTTAGTTTTTACAATCCCGAATCCTGAACTGGAAACTTACTTGTTACTTACTTACTGGTAGGGTAGTACAATTATCTACATACACGTGAATATGGGTCCCAGTCGTCATCTTTTGTCCGATGTATCGTCATTATCTACTAGTATACATATACGTCAACTTTATTGTTTAAATTGTTAAATTTTTAGTTATTTTTAGGGACAAACGAAGAACCCTGAGATCAAACGATTTCTCATAAAATATATATCTATTTCAGATAGAACTTAAATTTATAGGTTATTTTTTATTCTTATCCAATATAAAACTAAAACTTCAACAAGAATGATGGTACTATACTTATCCCACACAAAACCTCTCAGCTACTGGAGCAGAATTCAAACAATGGTTTAATAAGAGAGGTCGATAATCCCTATTATATTCCGTGTGAGAGCCTTTGGCGAGCACCAGAGTGTGTAAAATTAAAAATCCTGTGCATTTGTAAATTCACAAGTTATTACAGCCATTATTGTAAAGTCATGTCCCTCGGAAGTCGGAACAGCTTGTTGTCGATTTTAATAACTTAAATAACTCATTCCATTTTAGTTTTACATTTCGGACCATTTATTTAAACAGATATATCCAGTTCCCAGTTACTTAAAACAGAAATATCTAGTTCCCGGTCATTTGAACCTTTTTCTCCGAACTAGGACGCTAGAATATGGGACACACTCAACTACCGCCCCTATTCCTAAGAAAACTAGAGACTAGAAAACTAGACAGTCAAACAAATTTCAACAGAGTGAGAACTGACTGACCTGTGGATAGAGTTCAGGCAGATAGTATGGCAGACAGTATTTTCTGTGTTGTTGTGATCTTGAATATCCATTGTCCAAGGTACTAGTCACCGACTTTAGGTGTGTGCGGTAGAAGGTGGTAGATGGATCACTATAAATGCGTTACGAGGATAATGACAAAATGATTTTCTAAAAACCAGACGGTTTAGTCTAACATCTACTTTGAAGGTGTCCCGGCCACTAACAAGAGTATATAATATATATATAGACACTAAGACTATCCTCCAGTCCTTAGTGCAACGTCACGAGAAATTAAATTCGTTAGCTGCTAGCAACATTCCTTTTTTACACCGCATTCTTTCACAACACGTTAATTCAGAATATCATAACGATATGATATTGATATAGTAAAAATAGTGCAGTTCCCCAGTCCCCCTATTCGTCGCTTAGCCGGGGAATTTATACCTGATATTTTGGAATAATTCTCTTTTTTGTTTAAAACATGGCCTGTTTGTGTGGAATACCTTGGAGTAATTATAAACTGTGGTGGTTTGTGACTGTGACTAATTTATTATTCGACATATTTTAAAGTTTTTGTCATTCTCTCTAATCCAAGAATTACTCTGCAAATCAAAGTTGCTCATTATTGGTTTTATCTCTTATATTACTTATCTATATCCGAAAAGTAACCCCAAATGAGTTTTGACCCTCCAACAAACTTTGCAAATAGTGTGATTCCGCACCTGCTTAAAATTTGCGTAATGTGCGGCAAATATATGGAGAATTTTGCGGCTTGAGTGCGGCGATTTTTTGCATGATACGTGGTAAAAGCGTGACGAATATTTTTCAAGCAGACAGACTAATTTGTAGACAGACTAATTTGTATTACTATCCTCCATAAACATGACCTCATTAAAATCGCCTCACATGTTGAAAAAACGCCGCAGTTAAGCCTAAGGCTGAATCTGAACAATTTGCCAAATTAGCCGCCCCACGTCAAGTAATTTTGAGGCATTGTCTGGATTCATTATTCAAAAGATGAGTAAAGAATGCAATCCTAGACCATCCTGTATACCTCGCACCTGGACTTGTGTGTTGAGTTTGCTCCCTAAACCAAAACCAAAACCAAATAGAATATAAACCTACATCGTCTTATTCGTAGGGGGCTGTGGTCAAGATGACCACTCTAAGATAGCGGTAACATTTTTTAATGTGGAATGTAAAAGATATACTTTTAGTTTTTTCCACATTTGGTGAAACGTTCTTGAAACACCAAGGTAGCCCGACAGCTGTATTTCACATCATGTATCTCACTAAAAGATTGCTTCTTACACTGGTGATATTAAGTGATGTCACATTAGCAGACGCTCACAAAGCTTAATCACGGAACCACATGAGATCGACGACACACAAGAAACACTGTGTAGTCCACAATGTAGTCGTGGAATTTCATTCTCAAGCTAAGGACTGCCGGACTGGATCTAACTCTTATGATAATGTAGACTAGAGCAATACCAGAATACCTGGGCTCACTTGAGGAAGTGAATACCTTGTTTACACCCCTAGCATCTAATTCATTTACCATTCCTCTTTTATAATACTTAAATATAGCCCCCGCTCCTTTGCTTTCCTGATTTACTGTAGTCTCATATCATTTGATTACATTGCTCTTCGGGATTGTTTTAAACCAATATTCCTTTGTTTACGCTTCTCTGCCGTTATGTTAATGTAGGGTAATGTTATACTTATAATCCTTTGTTTACGCTTCTCTGCCGTTATTTAGATTTTAGTGCTCGTCGTACTTAGTTCGCATTCTGTCGAATAATTTTCAGATTTTGTCAAGTTCCTTGTCACCAGATAACTGTGAATACATTTACAGCGCTTTTGAGAGATCTGCTTGTTAATGCATTGCTTTTATAAGTTATAAACTGCGTATTCTCCTATTAGACGCTTTCATATCGACTTCAGGTTAAGTTATTTTAAATCTCGTGACGCATCAATAATATGTCAATATAGGGCTTTAAAGGTTCGCAAATACATAGAAAAGAGTAATGAAGTTGATTAGTCGCTGTATTCAAAAATAATTTTAATCGTTTATCATAATTTCATGATTGTTTGCAGATTATGAACATTAACAGATTGATATGAATTTTTAAGTATGTAAAACTAACCACAATCTACTCAATTAGAAAAAAATGTGTAATTGAAGAGTTTGGAAGGGTGAAATCTCTCAATCTGACATACACCGGATGGTCGCCTCCTTTTTACTACTGCTATCCTGTTTAACTGCTCTAACAGGTTTCACTTTCACTGTCCTGTTTAAGTGTTCTAATAGGTTTCGCTTTCAATATCCTTTATAACTGTTCTAATAGGTTTCACTTTCACTATCCTTTATATATTTTCTAATATTTTCTTTTCATTTCCAAAATTCTGTCTAACTGCTTTAACAGGTTTCAATTTATTTGCCGTGTCTTGAATGCGACCACAGTAACTGTTGTAACCCTAATAACCACAGTAACCCTTATGACCTTATTCAGTTGCTGCAAAAGTCCCGTGCAGCGCAATCCCAGAACATGGAGACGTAACGAAAGGTGGAGAAGGAGTCTACAATTTCAGATGTTTGGACACAGATAAACACGAACTGGTTGGCAGAACATCGGCTTTATGTGACAGTGATGGCTTCTTCGAAATTGCTTCCTTGCCTAAGTGTGTAGGTAAGTACAGTGTAGGATGAAGGCGCACGAGGTTTTGGGTTTGACACCCAGCATGGATGCTTTATCTCGGGATGTTATATTAGAATTTGATGTTAGAAAATTATTATCTCGTCTGTCTTAAATTCTTGTTTCTTGTGACAACTGACAAGCCATAGCAAGTATTAGTTATAAAATCCTTCCTTCTCCAGAGAAGCAACCTCTGACCACACACATAAAGACTACACACAGTGGACTTGAGTGCACTAAGGAGAAAGTGGCAGAAAGGCACAGTCTTCTCTTGCGGTACCTCTCACAGGCGCTGTGTATGAAGGAGCAAACTTGCGTCTTAAAGGGCATGTCTTTCACGTGTTCATCTCCTTTCAAGGTTGGTCATCAAATTATACTTTCTAGCTTTTATTTAAGTAATGAAACTGATGACAATAATCTATGGAGGTAAAATGAAAGATAGCAGATTGTGGGTCCAAATTCATACTACAAGTACACAGTTAACGCACCCGCAGGTTACTATAGAGTCAGTGTTCACAGTATCTGACAGTCGAGCAGGAGATGATCTTGTGGACTTGGCCAGTAGATTATCAGAAAGCAAACACTCTAGGCAAAGGAGAGATATCAACTTCGATGATTTCGATACAGAAGATCCCGTAACTTCTGCTTGCGAAGATGGAGAGGGTGTTTCTAGCAATGGAGATAACTGCGGTCAGTTCAATTGAGATATCCTTTATAGTATCTAACTTATTATCCAAAGGCTGATTAACTATTAAGCAAAGTTTTGTTGGCCCAACTAAAAGGAGCCAAAAGTAAAACTGTCCATCTATATTATTCTAGTTTTCCCGGAGGAGCCCGATGTAGAGAGGTTTTACTGTATGATATTTCAGTGGAGTGTCCTGAGGGCATGTACGGAGACGGAGCTACAACTCCCAAGTGCGTAGAGTGCGCTTTGGGAACATACAATGCAGCGTCTAAACAAACTGAGTGTACAGCTTGTGTCAGCCCTAAGAGCACTTTGTTGACAGGGTCCACGGCTGCAGATGATTGTAAAAGTGAGTACTTTTGCAGTTATCATTTTTCACTTCACGCTCCTACTTTCACCCTTATCGTCACTCTTACTTCACTTTCACTCTTACATTCGCTTTCATCCCCAAAGTAACCACACCCTCCCCAGTTTTGTGCACGCTACCTGCCGCATCAGAAAACAGTCAGTATACGATATCTGGAGTGGCGAAGTCTGACGGAACCACAGTGGAGGTGGGGAGCGTGTTCACCTTGCTCTGTGATCAGGGACACACCTTCAAGAACGAAAATAAATTCACCCAGACCTGTACAGACGGCCTGCAGACAGCAGAAATCAAAAATGAGTGCTTCAGTAAGTTTTATCATCACTTCTTAGCAGTGACTATTGCGTTGGCTTCATACAAGTACAAATTTGATTTTATCATTTTACGGGTCTGTGATATAGAAAAGCTGCAGCGTTATAAAATATTTCCTTGTGTTTAAACACTGCTATCTCTCTCAGAGGTGACGACGACACCAGACGTAGCAGTGTACAAGTTCCTGGGCGAGACTGCCAGTATCACGTGTGTAGGAGAGAGTACAGTAGATCCCCACCTTATTGAAGTCAGAGATCCTGTTCCTACCGGGCTCACCGTCAGTAAGTGGACACTTATCTCACATTTCTCACTCTTTTTAGACTCGTGTCTCGTTTCCTACATCGTTTATTGTAACTCAGTATCGAATCCTGCATTGTTTTGATTGTTTGCTTAAATTATGTTTCGAACTGTATATAACCGGTTCCATGTTTCAGGCCCAGTTGCCAATACAGGGACCTGCGACGCTACTAATAAAAACGAGAAACCAGAGTTCAGTGTAACAAGTGCCGCTACTTCTGGCCGATTTGAGCTGTCTTGTGACATGCAGGTTTGCACTGGTAGATATTTCTCTGTAAAACATTAGAGGTCTGATAGATATTATTTTAAGGCCAGGTAGCACAGTTGGTTAGAACGCCAGCTTTGCAATCGTAAGGTTGCGGGTTCGAATCCCACTGTCTGCCTGGTCGTGGTGTGAGCGTCGTCGACGTTCAGCTAAGGATCCTGAGTGGTCTATGCAGCCCCCGGTCTACTCAGCCGAATACTCGAGAAATCGGGTGTGAGGGTTAAATGAGGAGCTGCACATTGCAGCAAAGTCTCGGGCGAAGAAAGTATGGTACACACTACCCTAACCGTAACTGGCAAAAACAAATCCTTCGGCTTCATGTAATTGGCTGGTTGCACTTGTGTAACAATGTGGCTGTTGGAATACTCCGAAGTAAAATAAGTGTCTTGATAAAACCTTGTATATAAGAAGTTTTTCAGAGCATATCTTGGTGTTATTGAATGATGACGTTGACTGAACCCCACTGCAGGTTTACAGTGATATAAGCGAGAAGGAGCTGTCTGCCGACTCAACTACTGTAGTGTTCATGAAAGCAGTGGAACCTGCAGCCAACATAGATACTGACGTCGGAGCAGCTCTCACTTTGGCAGCTTTGGTCAGTCTGGATGATGCTTCTACTTACAGCTTCGCCTGGACAAAGGACGGCAGTACTTACAACACTGCCCAAAACAGGTAATATTCGTAAGTGTTACTGTTACCATGACAAACGCGTTCGTTCGATTATTGAACGAATATCACTTACAGTGATATTAGTTACCGAATCGCACTGACCGGATATATTTTCGTATATTACGCTATACTGTTACAGTGACGTAACTGTAACAACCGCACTTCCCAGTGACACAACTGTAACGGGACTGGCGTACAAGAGCTCGTCTGTGACAATAGCCAGTGTAACTCTGGAAGATAAGGGCACTTATGTAGCAACTGTCACCGTGTCAGACCTGACCGGCACCCAAATGTTAACTAAAACCTTTACAACCGTTGTTGCAATAAAAGGTGGGTATTTTTAGTGCCTATGAAATTATGAATGTAAAAATATTTGTTATTATCATTACTGGTCTTATGACGAAACTTTTGTCCATCTTTTCTATATAATATATGATCATATCAGAATTTAATGCCAAGGTATTTAATTCTGCTAATAATATAAACCTGCCCAGGATTCTCCGTGCAGCCCCAAGATGCAGGTGGAGACACCAGTGTCATTCAGGCAGAAGGATCACAAGCTGTTCTGACCTGTGCTTTTTCGGGAACCATCGACGCTTCAGAGACTTTTACCTGGTAGAAAACCGCTCCTTCGCAAATATTTTTACTTTATCTTCATCATCACGATACTACGATACTAACTTTCAACCTATTCCTTGGCTTGATCAGTTAGTCATTTTAGTTAATTTAATACGTATGACCCGTCCTGTTGAGATCAAATCATATCAGGACAAAAGATGCCGAAACTACCGACGCTAATGACGAAGCTTTCATGGCAGTGACGGCAGAAACCAAGGATGGAAGTCTCTACAAGTACTTAACCATAAACGCCTTTCCCGCCGGCTGGACAGACACTAAATTTGTGTGTAAGGTGTTTAAAACCAGTGATAAATCAGAGCTGTATAAGAGCGAGGCCATCTCCCTCTCATCCTCACGTATGTTACTTCTGACTTCTGAGTTAATCAATGTTTACCTTACTTCTGAGTTAATTAATGTTTACCTTACTTCTGAGTTATTTGATTTTTACCTTACTTCTGAGTTATTTAATGTTTACCTTACTTTTGAGTTAATTATCAGTATAAATAACATATATATTTAAGTCTTATAATGTACATTCCCCTCCAGCCTACGTAGTGACGATGGACGCTGCTGACAAGTGTACTGAAGATGGAAAAGACATTGAGTTCGAATGTACAGCCAGTTTCCCAGACAGTATCACTAACGGACCAACAGTAACCTGGCACAAGGTCTCAGAGGCCGGGGACACGCTCGTTGAGGTACAGTTGGCACCCTGCCAGTTGTTTTTAACCGCCACTCTTATATATGTAGCTGAGATGTGTTTTAAATTTATTTAGATAATTCAGCTACTAATTTTTTACTTGATTAAATACCATTTAAAGTTGTTTGTAATTAATGTCAAATCAAATGTTTGTTTCCCATATAGCAATTATTCCGCTATTATAAAGCACTGCTAAATTTATTGCTAATAATTAATGTGTTCATAAGTTAATCTCTATGCTAATATGTTACTAATAATATGTAATGACACCTTGCCACCTCTCAGCAACTTTTGGTGAGTGGACGTTACTCAGGTTGTGTTACTACGGTAACACGTTGAAGAATATAAGACTCGTATAGTATCTGTGCATGATAGATCTCTGTTGTTTTCTTGACTTGTTACTCTTCACTACCCAATAGAAGAGGGGCAAGGATCTCACTTTTCATTTGTAATCCCCTGGATATATAAGGTTCCCTTAATATAAGGTTCCCCTAATATAAGGTTCCCCTAATATAAGGTTCCCCTAATATAAGGTTCCCCTTTGTATTGGGGTTATGGGGAATGTTGTTAAACATACCTCCACTCAAAACCCCCCACTATCTCTAATCACGTGATAAAACCAGATTACAATTCTCCTAAAATGAATGCTCGGTCATCCTTGTGCACGTGTTTGGTCACCCTTGTGCAAATTCTATCTGATTAAAGCTTTCTGCTCAAACTCATTCTCATACCTCCCCAGCCAACACGCTTCTAAATAAAGCTCATCCAGTATAGGAAACTAGCCAAATTTGAATCTGTGTTTCTCCTTCTTTTTCTCCTTCTTCTTCTCGAGGTTGATATCGTATTCTAACACTATCTACACCACAACACACAATATGCTACACGTGTGTTTACCTGTACGTTGGAATGTTATTGGAATGTATGATTGTGACAGTATGAGTGTTCATGTGTCCAGTTTCGCATTGGACTTGGTCGCATGTATTCGTAAATTAAAAGATTGTTTTATTGATTTTATTGTTGCACTTTATTGTACCAGTTATTGATTAGATTTGTGTGGTGCTGTAATACTCGCTGAGCTTTGTAATACATAAAACTAACTTCCTGTTATCGGAGCTCCTTTATCTAAGCAATACTTCTAACTGAGTTCCACTAAGTGATGAGAAGTTAGTTTACCACACGTTATAGCTCCCAATCCTCAATTACCCCTCATTTACCCCTTACTTACCCCTCATTTACCAGGACGGAGACAATTACGTAGTGCAAGGATCTAAAGATGGAATCATCTTCAAGTCCATCATGACTGTAGATAAGGCATCAAGCACCCAAGCTGGGAGCTTTTACTGTGTGGCTACTTACACTGAGCCGGACTATCTGCAAATATCCAAGAAGACTGATGCTAGATCCCTTACTGTAGTCGGTTAGTGAGATGGATTTTTAATCATTTCCTTTCTCTCACAAATCAATGATAATACAAATATTATTGGTTCTTAAATTTTTATGAGATCCCAGTTTATAGATTTTTAAAAAACTCTCTGCTCTGAGGAGGAGAGAAAGTTTTTGTGGAGAGCCGCTCAGACATGGGCACCGTATTGTGTAAATTATTTAGGTATATTTTATGCAATATCTTTGTCGCATACGAGCGGGGTAGTAAATATTGTGTTTCGTTTCGTACTTTAGTGCTTGTTCTGTTCAGATAGTTGAAAGTTGTATTATTACTGACAAACCTTTCTAACCAGATCTGGCTCCTATACCGAAGAAGTACGTTCTTATCGGGGATACGGACATTATATTGACGACCACTTTTACTGGACAGAAGCCTCTAGCAGCTAAGTGGTCGAACGAAGCGGGCGATGAACTGGTCACTGGTGCAGATTATACTGTAGTGGGTGACGTCAGCGCTGATAACGGACCTTATACCCTTAGTTTATTAATTAAAACTGTGTCTGCTAGTACTCCTGTCGGTTTTTATGTCGAGCTCAACCTAGCTCCTGAATGTGATGGATTGGCTGTGATGAACCAGTACACAGAAGATGCTGAGCTCGAGATACTAGGTTAGTGATTAACATTTGCAGTAGTGTTGCCATGGTAACAATAGAGGTTAATTGTCTTACATTTGATCCTTATCTCTGACAGATGGTTTGTCAGTACTATCATACTGCATTCAAAGATCGATAAATAGTAGTCGCTGAGTTACATAAAACTCAGTTCAGTCTGTGTGCTTTACTTAATCTGTAAACTTCGTGACTATTAAAGTTACTTGAAACTCAACTTAATCTGTAAACTTCGTGACTATTAAAGTTACTTGAAACTCAACTTAATCTGTAAACTTCGTGACTACTTTTAAATATCCATTCCTCAGAAGCCTCAGTACTTGATTGTAAGTTATCGTGCTATTACAACCTTACCACCTTGCCACATATCTCATTTAAAAACATTCAACCATTTCAATACGGTGTAGGGATATTATTTCGAACAAATCGCAATTTCACGTAAAAGACTTCGGGTGTTTGCTTTGATTCCGAGATTGTTGCAGTGACCCTAGAATTAGGAGATTATCAAACTTGTTCCTCATGACCATCTTTGTCCATAAAAAACAACTATAACCTAAAACTAACAACAACTAACAACATTCATGCGCTAACATCTAGCTACTAACAAATTACACTTCCCTTCAAAAACAAGACTAAATGCACTGTGCAGCTACTTTACAGAACTATATACAGTTCTATTAGCTATCGCTATTATACAACTGCAGTTGTGTTAGTAGCAGTGACAATATCGCTCTATAACGCGTTCATTGAGAAGCTTCTTTAGAGTTTAAAAACTCCTTAAAGTAAAGTTAAAAGACATTAGCAGTTGTGTAGCCCTTACACTCATCATCCCAGCCGCTACAATCAGCACTGACGCTACAGAGTTTAAAGCTGAGAACGACTACGCGTTTGAAGGTTCTGATGTAAAGTTTACATGTCTCTACTCCAACCCATCAGACCAAGCAGCCCCCGCTGTCACCTGGACTGCTACTGCTACTAACGGTGGGGCAGCTATCTCTACCGGAACACCTGATAACAGCGCCGCAGCCAGTAGTCCGGTAAGTAGTTTCATGGTGGCAGTTGTTATGGTAACAGTAGTGTTGTCATGTTAACATTAGTGTTGTCATGGTAACAGTAGTGTTGTCATGGTAACAGTAGTGTTGTCACGGTAACACTAGTGTTGTCACGGTAACAGTAGTGTTGTCATGGCACCAGTAGTGTTGTCATGGCACCAGTAGTGTTGTCATGGTAACAGTAGAGTTGTCATGGTAACAGTAGTGTTGTCATGGTAACAGTAGTGTTGTCATGGTAACAGTAGTGTTGTCATGGTAACAGTAGTGTTGTCATGGTAACAGTAGTGTTGTCATGGTAACAGTAGTGTTGTCATGGGAACAGTAGTGTTGTCATGGTAACAGTAGTGTTGTCATGTTAACAGTAGTGTTGTCATGGTAACAGTAGTGTTGTCATGGTAATTGGTAATAGTAGGGTAAGTACTAATCTGAATACCAGATCTAACTATAATAATTGTTATTCAGGAAGGAAAAGTAGTGATAACTTTGTCGAGTGTAACAGTTGACGGACACAGTGGTACTTACAAGTGTGACGCAGCGTACCCCAACTCTATTGGAACTGCTGCTTCTTCTATTAGAAATCTCCATGTTATAGGTATGTTTCAACTTGGTCCTCCATCTAGATTTTAATTTCTACTTTATATTCCTTCTATATAATAAGAGGTTATCTGTGTGGTGTGTGGTGTTGGTAACCAGAATATTGTGCAGGATTCAAGCCACTAACCACTACATACGTGGGAGAAGGAGGTGACACTAAGGTCACGTGCACCTTTACTGGCAAGACCGGTGTTGTTACCTGGTCACAGACCGGGAACACCAAGGATCTCTCCTCCAACGTCAATACTGGGTAAATACTTACTTGCTGTGTTCTACTAACTGTTACGTAACAACTAACTGTTACTTAACAACTAACTGTTACTTAACAACTAACTGTTACTTAGCAACTAACTGTTACTTAGCAACTAACTGTTACTTAGCAACTAACTGTTACTTAGCAACTAACTGTTACTTAGCAACTAACTGTTACTTAGCAACTAACTGTTACTTAGCAACTAACTGTTACTTAGCAACTAACTGTTACTTAGCAACTAACTGTTACTTAGCAACTAACTGTTACTTAGCAACTAACTGTTACTTAGCAACTAACTGTTACTTAGCAACTAACTGTTACTTAGCAACTAACTGTTACTTAGCAACTAACTGTTACTTAGCAACTAACTGTTACTTAGCAACTAACTGTTACTTAGCAACTAATATCTCTATCCCAAGTAACTATGAGAATGGTGAGATAACAAGTGAATTGTCCTTAACAAACGCCCAACACGCAACTGATGAGGGTCAATATAGTTGTACTATGAAATACAGTGAGATTACTGAGGAGAAAGAACTTCAGCCCTGGCTCAAAATTATGAGTAAGTACTTTATACTCAATAAGTTAGGATTGACAATTAATGTCAAATCAAAGAATTTGTTTATCTCAATTATTATATTCTCAATTATATAAGTCTAAATTTTCAAAAAATGAAATAAAACTTGTATCATTGATGTACCAAAATCCATAATCATGGGTAGAGTGGACCGCTGCCAGTGTCTCTCTTTCCCAAGAAAAGCGAGCGACCGATTTCATTCTGGGTATAATTTTGCATTTGCAGACGGTCAATCAAATTAATATCATTTCCTTTTGGTTGGGAAAGAGAGACTGGCAGCGGGCCACTCTACCCATGATTATGGATTGTGGTAAAATATCATCTCTTTTTGCCTGCTGAGTCTTAATGCCTGAAAAACAATAAAGGGGGTAAATAGTAAAGGGGGTATAATAGTGAAGGGGGTAAATAGTATAGTGAATATAAGAGGCGCGGTCATGCTTGCCAGCAGGGTGATGGATGTCGATTAAGTCGGTGATTTGAGAGTGAAAATACTATTGTAAAGTTGTGAATCAGTCACATTAGAAATAGAGCTGACTGGTATGTTCTATAATTAGATCCTGTACAGTTTACACATTATACATACATGCTACAATATTTAAAACAAACTATATGTTTACTCTGTCACATCATTAGTAAAATACAGCCCTCTCTTTGTGTTTTGGTCACATGTCAATTTACACGGAAATACAACACGACAGTGAGTTACAAGCATTTCCATAGTTTCAAGCATTACCACAGTTACAAGCATTACCACAGTTACAAGCATTACCCACAGTTACAAGCATTTCCATAGTTACAAGCATTACCACAGTTACAATCATTACCCACAGTTACAAGCATTACCCACAGTTACTAGGGTTACCATGGTTACATCTGAGGATTAAAAGTAGTGAAACTGCTTTACTAAAAGCAAATCCTCTTTCATCCTCTCTGGAGCAAGATGATTTGTTAAAAACACGAAAAAAAATAGTCAGTCAATCACGCACTGTTATTTTCATAAATATCTTACTTGCTCGTAGAATCATCTCTTCGATTGTAGCCGTAAGTATCTCTCGTGGTGATATTACCTTATATGGTAGCATGTCTAACCAGTGCATAATTTCAGGGATAACAGAAGTGACCGCTGTGCCAGTGTACAACGTGTTAGCAGCTAAGTTCGACCTCTCTTGCAAGATCTCGTGGGACGTAGCAGACTTATCGTACACTCCTACCGTAACCTGGCAACTGACCGACACAGCAGGAGCCCCTAAAGCTCTTACAAACGCCAACACTGATAAATACACCTTCACTGTAGCCAGTTCTGCAGCTACCGACATGGGCTCCTACCAATGTAAGGTAGATTTCAACGGAGTGGAAGTGACGGGTGATGTCACAGTGTACGTGCGAACACCTCCAGTGTTTGCTGTCAGCGTAGCGAATCCTACCGCCTCCAACTTCAACTCTCCCAGCACAGTGGTACTGGGAGCACCTGTAACTCTGAGCTGCACCTTCTCGGGTGATGCTACAGGGGATGTACTGTGGTATGAGGGTACCAACATCCTCACTGACACTAGTCTCTACACTCTAGATGCCGCTGCACATACTACTTACGGTGCTACCAGCAGTGCTGTCATTCTGTCAGTTATAGATGCTACACACGAAGGAACCTACAAGTGTAAGTCCACTTACACGTCCGACAGTGTAGATACAGAGTCCAACGCCCTGACTCTCTCTGTGTTGGGAGCTACTGGAGTCACCAGCTCTAAACGGTTTGCTAACAAAGGGGACGACATCACCTTTACTTGTAACTATTTGGAGCTAACAGGAGATGACTCCCCTGCTACATGGTCTGTACAGGGAGACGCCCTAACCAAGGCTGCAACCAACACGGCTACCTCTAGTGAGTTTACTGTTACCGGGGCAACTGTGGAGAGCAACGGAAAAGCAACGTGTACCGTGACCTACAGTAACTCTCTGACTAACTCTGTGGAAGTGGATCAGTATGTGAGGGACACAGTGTTTGGAAATGTTATTGATGGAAAGTTGTATGCTCTGAAGGGTGCACAAGCTGTACTCACATGTGTTATACATGGTGACGGTCTTAAGGAAGATATTGAATGGACTCCAGCAGGTAATATTTGTAAACATTATCTTATTATTGATGAAGGCTTAGTCCTGTTATTTTCGTATATGTTGTGTAGGATTTTAATTATGAACCTAGTAAACCCAAACCTTTTTTACTGGATAAATACGATTAAGCTATATGATAAGAATGCATTGGATCTTGATTTGGTTTGTGACTAAGATGTCAAATTACCATAATACACCCCAACAGGAACTGCAAACACAGAAACATATACATCAGAGTCCACCTCCTCTACCTATACAATAACCTCTGTTGCTGAGGCTGATGAAGTGGAATACACTTGCTCAGGACGATATTCAGAGGACGATGTTAAATCTACTGCTGCTCAAACTCTCACTGTCCTAAGTTAGTTTTACTTATTACAATTTCTTGTTTTCTTAATTTCTTACTGTCCTCAGTTAGTTTTACTTTGTACAACATTTTAGTCTCTTACTGTCCTCAGTTAGTTTTACTAAGTACAACTTTTTAGTTTCTCGCTTTCCTAAGTTAGTTTTACTTTAGTACTAGGCTAATCCCATTAGTATTTAAAGTATGTCCCACGCCTGTCAAGATGATTTCCAACTTGGATATCATCCGACACACATTATATATTACCCTTATAACTTGGCATTACCTTTATTACCCTTCTCAGAGGTAACGGTGACTGGAACTTCTCCTGTGAACAAGGCTGGGGACACTACTCTCACTTGTGACCCTGTTGACGTCGCCTCTACCTACTCCTGGACAAAGGTACAACACTTTCACTTTCACTTTTACTTTCGCTTTCACTTTCACTTGTTTGGGCTAGAAACAAAGGGACTGCGCTGTTCAGATCTCCCAATTTATCATCTTTATATTGAGTATTATAGAGTAGAAGGTGCGACTTAAAGAAGGTCAATATGACAATAAACTAATATCTCCTGTTCCCAGGGAGCAAACCCAATAAATGGCGAGACAGGGAACACCCTAATACTGAGTGGAGTGGACTTCACTGCAGCTGCTGATTACAAGTGTACTGTAGTCTACCTTCACAGTCTTGGTACTTTGGAGAGTGAGGCTTTCCCCGTCTTCGTTCAAGGTAACGTCCACTTTCACTTTCTACTTTCGGTATTTTTGTCTTCGTTCAAAGTCAGGAGGGTTTTTAATGCGTTTTCAAGCAGGTTTATTGTGGATGAAAATTTGAATTTTTAGAACCTTATAAACAAATAACTTGACCCTTTCCCACAGGTTTTGTTAGTTTGGAACAAGGACCTAAAGTTGGATCATACAATGAGGTAGGAGAGACGATCACACTAAAAGCTACGATAACATCTCCAACATCCCCGGACACATTCAAGCTGTACAAGGGAGACGATACCGACGTCACACCTATCACTAACACTCCTGCTCCCACTCAAAATGCAGTCGACCAAGTAAGTAGTAAAACACTATGGTCCTGATTAGGGCGCCAATAAAATGTTATTTAGCATGTTTTTATATTTCTCATCTCGTGTTCATTCTCGATGGAGTTTAAAATTTAAAGATATTCAGTTCTCTCTTTAAATTAACATCGGCTGAATAGGTGCTTCTGAATTCCTCAATAATTCAAATAAACTCCACCATTCCACAGTCCTGGGATGTGGAAATAGAGTTCCTGGCTACTAAAGTAGCGGGAAAGACAGTGGCTTACAAGCTGGTTGTGGAGAACACTGGTAGTATCGAAAGTACTGTCTCTATTGACGTATTCGGTTAGTACTAACGTAACAGCAATTCTTAGAAATATATTTTGGATTCTCTCTGTCCAACAATGGTTAAGATATTTAAAACTAAAATAAATCCCCCAGAGAAGTGTCCAGTAGAGGCAGTAGCAGATATCACAGCTCTGGACGGAACACCACTAGACCACATGGGCACAATATCTAATTTGGAGTGTACTGGAGGTAAAAGTCTGCTGGGGTCCCCGGCTGCTGCCTGTAATGACGGTGTCCTCACTTGGTCTGCCCCTCTTTCTGCTCAGCCTGAGTGTATTGGTGAGTTTACTGGTTTATTAGCGCCGGGCATATACATCTCCTATCTGTTGTAATGAGCGATCTTTAGTAGTTTATATAAACCTAACACTGATCACAATTAAAGTGGGTAATTCTGGGAATCCTTGTATCTAACTCATTGTATTTTCAGAACTCGGTAAGTCGATAGGGGATACGTAAGTTATCATTTTATTAAATATTATCGTCATTAGCTTCATTCGATCTTTTAATTATTTTGTAATTTAATCAAAGAAACGATGATATTACGAACATGACACCTCTTTGCATGACGTCACACACCACGTGACATGACTTCACACACCACGTGACATGACGTCACACGCCACGTTGCATGACGTCACACACCACGTGACATGACTTCACACACCACGTGACATGACGTCACACGCCACGTTGCATGACGTCACACACCACGTGACATGACGTCACACACCACGTGACATGACGTCACACACTACGTGACATGCCGTCAAACGCCACGTGACATGACGTCACACGTCACGATGCATGACGTCACACGCCACGTTGTATGACGTCACACGCCACGTGACATGACGTCACACGCCACCTCACTGCCTGTTTCTCTCAGCGGTACAAACAGATCCTGTAGACCAGCTTGTGGAGATCGGCAAGGAAACTACAATGTCCTGTTCGTCCATCACTACTCCTGTTACTGTAGCCAGTGTGGAGTGGTTCAATGGGGATGGCGTTGTGCATACTGATACTAACCCTGCTGCTGTTCAAGAGAGTGGTTAGTAACACTGCTTTATTTACCATTCCTATCTAATTAAGTAATTTTCAAAACTTTATAATTATAGGCATATTATTGTCAGAAGATAACTTGAGATGATTTTATTTCAAATGTCACCGCCACTTCTAGTTTCAGTCCATTCTTAAGTAAAACGATAAAACCTCGTGTTTCAAATCTTACATAACTGTTACAGGTGGAACCCGTAACGTCTACACAAGTAACTACAAGATAACAGGAGCGAATGCTCTCAACGAAGTGTCTTACGGGTGTAGAATGATAACTGACGCTGACAAGACTGTCGAGTCTCATTTAGCTAAAGTTTACATTGTCGGTAAGTGTTAACAAACATTGAGTTTATGGTTGGTTTTACGTCGACAAAAGTAAAGCTGAGTTTTTGTAACAATTTTTATTTTTTGAAGAGAGGTTAGGCCTGGATGGCCCACGAGAGGATAGCATGTGGATGCTCTGCCTGCCTTTGGGGTATGGCAAGTGGCAACCCTGGTGGAGGTTGCCGGAGAAATCAAAGTGAAAAGTTGAGGATGGTGTTATGAGGGGAGATGAGTCATTAGTTATGCAGAGTTATGCAGAACATTAAGATTTTCCCTTTGTTGCTAGCCTTATCTGATATTGTTACGATGATAACAGCATTATAAATTTTGGATATAATCCGACTATTCTGTCAGGTATTAAGTCCATCACTTCCACTTATCCTGGACAGTACTTTGAGAGCGACAACAGTGGAGTTGCTGACTACTCAGAGACGGGCACTATCAAATTTGAGGTAAGTTTTTAGTTAGTTTCTATAAGTTATATTCTTAATAGTTACTAGTTAGATTCTAGTTAGTTTCTAGTGGGTGACTAGTTAGTTCCTGGTTACTTTTATTTAGTTTCTAGTTAGTTTCAAGTTAGTTTATAATTAGTGCGTGAAGAAGCAACATCACGTGATATTGTATATTTATCTTATCTCTAATATACTCTGTACAGGTGTACGTTGGACCAGGTGTGAGTTCACAGACAAGCAAACTTGAAATAGGAGGCGCTGATGTTGTAGTCACCTTCACTTCAGGGACTGAGACTGACAACTTGGTGAGTCGCTGATTCCTTCCTTTTATACTTTACCTCTCGCGGGTACTTCATTTTTAAAAGTCTTCCCGGGCTCCTGAACTTAATAAAATATCTTATTATTAAATACCTCACTCCAAACTGTAAGTATATAAACTCTGCCCAGATGCCCTACTCTTACACGATAGCAGAGGAAAACAAGAAAACAGGGACTTACACAGTGACTGTAACTTACACCAAACCAACTGATGCTAACGGTGACGCTTCTTACTCAACAACTATCTTCCTTCCTGTGTATCGTAAGTTTACAAATTGGTCTGAAACGAAAGTTAATATAAATACCGTCTTGTGGAACATGTAAAACACAACTATTGTACTACTTACACCAGAAACTTTTTGATTATTTTAGTGTCATGTTTGTTAAAACCTGTTATCTAAAACACGTCCCCCGTTAGAGTTCTGTAAGGTGACAGAGTTACCAGACGTAGAACGAGGCAGCTGGACTCCTGGGGACAAGGTGGACCACAGAGGCTACGCTACTCTCTCTTGTGCTGACGACGCAGACGGCAATAAATGGTAACACGCTGTTTTTAGTGGGGGCGGAAGGGGGGGGCCTTAGTTTGTTAACTTGTTTTTATTATGTACCTGCTTGCACCTAAGGTTTCGGTGTTAAAGTGGAATTTTGCGGCCGCTGTTTTACCGCTCAGAACTTGTTTAGTAATATTCACAACCATACTGGAAACTACTTCTAAAACTTTAAATAGTATGTCACATTGCCACTACTTCTAAAACTTTGAATAATCTGTCAGGTACATGAAAGGAGACGGTGTAGCCCAATGCCTAATGGGATCAGAGAACTTCCAGTGGGAAACCCTAACTCCAGCCCCGACCTGTAACCCACAGTCAGAGCTGGTGGAGAAGTGTGGATTGTTGGAGGAACCGGAGTTTGGAGACGTGGTTTATAAGGATGAGAACACAGCCTACTTCACGTGTGGTGCCGGGTACACTCTCATCGGGGCAGAGCAGGTACATACTGCACCATTACATAGTGAAATAGTGAAATACTGCACCATTGCATAGTGAAATAGTATAATACTGCATCATTGCATAGTTTTACATAATTGTTGCTGTCTGTGATTTTAGTATTCACCATCTCGCTCCACCAGGAATACACGTGTGACTCAGACACGGGGGCTTGGTCTATCATTACTAAAGATAACCCTAACGGACATCCTCCTAAATGTCAAGGTAAGCATCATTTTATAGGACCAAACCAAATATTGCTCTTGTTTTCTTTTTGTGAACCCACAAACTCTGACAACGTATGGAGCTTGATTGACAAAATGGTGATGCCATAATCATTGTATTGGTTCCTTGACCCTTCTTGAAAATCAAAATTATATATATTATAATAAATTTTAAACAAGTAACTGCATGAGTCTGATTACAGCTTTATTTTCAGCAACTGTCGCCGCTGTAACTAGACACGTGATAGTATCCGGTATGGAGATAACTGTAAGCGAGAATGTGTGCTCTGACGAGGCCGGAAAAGACAGAGTTTCAAATGCTTTGAAGGCGTATTTAGAGGATGAGGATATAGTGAGGTGCACTGTTGAGAGCTATTGTACCTGGGAGGACTTTACTTGTACTGCCGCTGATTCATTACTCACTGTCGGCTTCAAGCTGAGCCAAATCACCTCTCTCAACGATAAAACTGTTGTAACGGAAGATGAGGCTAGGATCAAATCCCAGGCCCCTACAAAGACATTCCAAGTGAACACTGAATCAAATAAGCGAGCTATTGTCTCTGCTACGATCAATAAAGTAACAACAGATGTAGCTACAACCTGTTCTGCAGGATATGCTAGAATTGATAACTCTTGTTCTTCCTGTCCGTCCGGGTGGGGTTACGCTGGTGACACGTGTGTTCCTTGCTCTATTGGTTCCTATAGTACCGGTAACTCTATCTCCGCTTGTACACAGTGTACGGACGCTAAAACTACATACAATATCGGCTCCACATTGGCGGCTGCATGTGTGGAGGGTGCTGCAGTGTGTACTATAGGGGTTGCTGCGGGAGTCGCTACTTTTGTACCTCCCACTGGATCTCGAGTAGAGTTCGATAAGCTTATCTCTGTTACGTGTGGTGTAGGTCATGCTCTTGCTGTGGATGCTGATAACACCTTCAAGTGTGGGGCTACTGCTCCTGCTTGTTACGGTTAGTTATTTTATTAACACCTTCTACTCCATAGTCTTTAGTCTCAACTTCAGCTCTTATGTCTTAACACGATTTGTGTAGATTAATTGATTTCATGTCCATCTTTAATCTTTATTTATCGAACAAGAGATCCACTGATTTTAGAGAAACACAGCTTCGCTGTGTCAGCCATCGCTAGATAAACATTGGAGTGTAGAGTTACATAATTAGCTTGAGTCCAAGTCACGAGTTTACTCTGACGACTGACGCCCACATTATGATAATCATCATGCCCATATTAGGATAGTCACATTTCTTCCCCACAGAGGTATGCTTGTTGGCTGATAGATCAACTGACGAGTTGAAAGCTCTGTTTATACACGATAATATTGACGCTACTGGCCAGCTAGTCCACAATGAAAAGATTCAAGTAACCTGTATGGCAGGCTACGAACTTGCTGAGGACGAACCCGTCAAATCTTACACTTGTAACGACGGTACTCTACCTGTTTTCCAGGCCTGTATAGGTTAGTACAATGTACATTTAGTACATTATGTACATTTAGTACATTATGTACATTTAGTACATTATGTACATTAAGTACATTATGTACATTTATTTAATATATATTATCATTGTATCCTCCTAATAGAACAATATATAATATTGTATAGGCGAACTGAGGTTACGTGAATTATATAATAAAATAGTTATTTTTTGAATATACAATTGTGATAAACTTGATCATTATCAAACTTTCATAAAACAATTGACGTAAAGTTAATTGTGTTAACTAAAGCAAATACAAAGCTTAAAGGTGTAAGCAAAAGAAAGGTAACGGTAATTAAAAAGAGGAAGCGTTATAATAGACTCACATTTTACTGTTTGTTTTGAAATCCTTTTATCTTCCGAATCTGAACTGATGTTGAATCTCATTGAATGACCCAGTGTAGTGTGTAACACAGGGTCATTCAATGAGATTCAACACCAGAAAGGGCCTGTGTTTAAACTTTCTGGTGAAATCTGATCAATTTCCAATTTTTTCCAAAATGTTGTTCTTGTATTTAATCAGAAACAGACATGTTGAACACAAAACCAATCACATTCGTTAATCTTAGCTTGCGTAAGCCGTCTTATTGTTGAAAAATCTAAAGCCAATATAAGGACTCTATATTATGATGTCACAACATGACAATGTCCTTAAAAGGGTATAATGTTGAACATTGTGCCCTTATTAGGACATCAGGTGATAGAGTCACTGTGATCAGTGTGCATATTCTGGTCATTTCCCATCACTTAACAGTGTTTCCATGAGTTCTATACTGAATACAGCTCGAGCTACTGAAGCATTAGTTGACTATAGCTCGCTTTACTGGATCTTGTTACTTTTAGTGTAATGTCCTGCGATTCAGCTGGTTTCTGAGATTTCTCAAGTTTGTCTGACTGAAGTGGGAGATTTGCTAGTATGAACTTTATTATTGAGGTTTATCGTTTTTTCGAGTTCTTCGCTGCTCTCTTTTTTAATGTTATTGCGCACACGTACTGGGGTAAGTGAACTTTAGTCTCTAATCACAAGTGTGTTTTAAGTGTGTTTTTAGTGTGTTTTTAGTGTGTTTTTAGTGTGTTTTAATTATGCTTTTTAAGTGTGTTTTTAGTGTGTTTTTAGTGTGTTTTTAGTGTGTTTTTAGTGTGTTTTTAGTGTGTTTTTAGTGTGTTTTGAGTGTGTTTTTAATGTGTTTTTAGTGTGTTTTTAGTGTGTTTTTAGTGTGTTTTGATGTGTTTTGAGTGTGTTTTTAGTGTGTTATTAAGTTATTAGTGTGGTCTCATTTATCTTTACAAATATCGTAATTTGTCACCATCTTCCGTCAACAAGGCGGTTAAAACAGAAAGAATGGTGACTAAAATCTCAGGCAGCACAATCTGTGCAATTAACACGTGTTGAGGTGCAGACGTCTCACGAAATAGCGCCCAATTCTAACTAACTAACTAACTAACTAACTAACTAACTAACTAACTAACTAACTAACTAACTAACTAACTAACTAACTAACTAACTACCTAACTAACTAACTAACTAACTAACTAACTAACTAACTAACTAACTAACTAAAATATTTCAGAGCAAGCAGGATCTCAAGTGCTTACCACAGTAATAGTATGTGTGGTTGTGTTGGGTGTGGCTGTTATATTACTATTCCTCTTTATCATCGTTCAATGGAGGAAAAAGAAAAACGCTGCTAGTTACAAGTAAGAAACTTTTATTATTCCCTTCTAAAGACTAACTTTTAAACCAGGATTATAAGTAAAGAGTGTTATTAAGTTTCCTTCCTAGATTTCAAAAACAAAAGTAATTCAAGATAGTTATTGATAGTAGTAGGAAGTATACAACATTTTACCTGTGAATTACACGATAATAAAACCCAAGCCAGGTTATCGTGAAGCAAGACCTCTTAATAGCGTGAATCACAAAAATTACCATAGCAACAGTTACTATAACAAAAGTTACCATAGCAACAGTTACTATAACAAAAGTTACCATAGCAACAGTTACTATAACAACAGTTACTATGGTAACAGTTACTATGGTAACAGTTACTATGATAACAGTTACTATGGTAACAGTCAGTAAAGCAACTATAAGCTGAACATGTTAATACTAGTGCTGCAATTTCAATTTCGCTGAAATTATCAGGAACTGATCAAGTTTATATAAATTTGCATCAACCATTAGATAATTAGTTAATGGATTAAAAATAGTATAAATACAGTTATATGAATTAGTTCATTTTTCATTCTCATACCAATAATCTAACAAACTCTTGTTTCTCAGCTAACTCTACCATGCTGGTGTATGCATTGACTTTAACCTTGCTTTATAGGGTTTTAAAGGGTTTTATAGTCTCAGTTAAAATTGTTTTGTTTCCACATCTCTTTCTAACATGCACTTTAAACTTAAAGTTTCTATCGTCATTAATGCTTATTGTTTAGATAGATTAGAGAAAAACTTTGATTGCAACCAAAATTAGCACCTTACTGCTTTCTAACGCAAGCCGATATGAGGCTTACGTAAAAACATTCTCGCTCGATTTTCCAAAGCTATATACCTTATCAAGCTTATCTGCTATAGCAACCTGCAACAGTTACTATAGCAACCTTATCTGCTGACTTTCTTATTATCTTTGTCGAAAGATCTCCCTATACTTCTCATATAATATAAAGTATATTATACTTTCTCACTGACCCTCATTTGAAACCTTAACAAATCACAGACTACTCATTTTCCATATATACGTAGGTAAACCAACTAAATGTAAAGTAAAAAAGAGCGTGTTGCTTAGTAACAAGAGCCACGTGTTGCTTAGTAACAAGAGCCATGTGTTGCTTAGTAACAAGAGCCACGTGTTGCTTAGTAACAAGAGCCATGTGTTGCTTAGTAACAAGAGCCATGTGTTGCTTAGTAACAAGAGCCACGTGTTGCTTAGTAACAAGAGCCATGTGTTGCTTAGTAACTAGAGCCACGTGTTGCTTAGTAACAAGAGCCATGTGTTGCTTAGTAACAAGAGCCACGTGTTGCTTAGTAACAAGAGCCATGTGTTGCTTAGTAACTAGAGCCACGTGTTGCTTAGTAACTAGAGCCACGTGTTGCTTAGTAACAAGAGCCATGTGTTGCTTAGTAACAAGAGCCATGTTTTGCTTAGTAACAAGAGCCATGTGTTGCCTAACATCCCCCGATAAAGTGTGTACTATTAGTGTTCTGTTTACTAGGGGTAAGAAGAGTGGTAAAGTAGGTCCCACTACAGCAGAGGAGGGCCCTAGAAGGTAACGCTCTCAGTGGAACTACTTGAAGAGAGTGGTTTCTATCTGTCGTAAACTGCCCTTTTTACTGCAATTCGTAGTGATTTTAGCAGCGTGGTTTCAAGTTATATCACGTAATGTCACGTGGTGTGACGTCATTTCACGTGGTGTGACGTCATGTCACATGGTGTGACGTAATGTCACGTGGTGTGATGTGATGTACCGTCCTATGACTCTAACCATGGTAATTGTAGTTAGTAAAATGTAGAACCCTTTTTAGCTACTCTCGTTTTCCGAGAGGCAATTGGGCCCCTGAGCACATTTAACAGTTGTAATCGTTCGTGAAGCCACAAATTAAAAGCATTGTGATTCGTTGTACCTCGTTGTAACGTACCTCATCCGAAACAGCGGTTAAATAATAAGAAAAATCACCAAATAATCGAAACAAATGCTGTAAAGTTAATCCCAGTTAATCATATAATATATAAAAAATTCAATAAAGATTGACTGCTATCAGAATTAGATAGAAATTACAATTTATTTAAACTATTTTCTGTTGCTTTTTGTTACATCGTTGTCAATGTTGCTATACCGATGGATTGTAAAGCTGATACATCTCTCTAAAGCCCGCTAAATCAGCTTGCTTGTTGTAACAATGGAAACTGAATCTTGCTGGATCGGTTACCATAGTAACTATGTCTGCTCCTTGTCCTGACAACGGACTGCTGATTGTCCCATGTGTTGTTACCATGACAACCGTGTCACCATGACAACCAGCTACTAGTCCAAGCTGCTGACGTCACAACACGTGACTGCTCCAAGCTGCTGACGTCACAACACGTGACTGCTCCAAGCTGCTGACGTCACAACACGTGACTGCTCCAAGCTGATGACGTCACAACACGTGACTGCTCCCAGCTGCTGAAGTCACAGCTGGAAAGTGTCCCGCAAAAGACTGCTGACTAAATGTTCCTGATCAGTGTCTGACTCCCTTTCTCCCAGAGCCCGCACAAATGATATGGACATGGTAACCACGCACGCTACACCATCTCCTGCTTGTGTCCCCGATCAGAAAAACAGAACGCTTACTCTCCGCAATCCTGCCGGAAATGACTACGATCTCTAAACCTTCATAAGTGTCACACGCGTGACGTCATAGCACGTGGTTTGTGACATCACAAACCACGTGATGAGAAGTTGATTTGAGTTATAGCTCTGTCCCTCATTTTAACATGTACATAAGATGTCTCTTCAGACTCCACGCTGAGCCAAGAAATATAATTTCTGGCAGACCAATCACCGTGGCAACCATTCAAGTTACCATAGCAACCATTTTAGTTACCATAGTAACTGTTATAATTGCCTTAATTTAACTTTAGATGTAGCTTGCTTGTGGTTTCTTGCATTTTGTAGTGCCGAGCTGCCAAATATCTGAATATATAAACAGTATGCACCGAAGTTGAGGGTTCTTAGAAGAATGATTACTGTGTAGAATACAATTTGATTACATTTAGAATTGTTATTTATATTTTGAAACTTAAATTTTTTTGTACTGAAAAGTTCAATTTTCTAAGGTTCATATTAGTGAGCTTTCAAAACGAAATCTGTTTCAACGATCAGGATTGGTAATTTTTGTAGTCGTGATTAATTTGAAAATTATTAACTCTTTGAGAGCAATGTCAGTTATTTGTGTAACACAATTTTATATGTAAATTATATATGCAGTGATTTTTATTTTTTCCGTCAAACATGAGTGTAGCTTTTATAAGTTCTCAAAAATAAGATGCCATACTCCTGAAATAAACTAACATTTTTTTAAATGTAAAAAAAGTAAAACTGTTTCTTTTCCTCTCCTGATATCCGTGTCTGTGCATGTGACTGTCTTCTCTCCTTTATTCCTCTCTCAAGTGTTCCTTGTTACCATGGTAACAGTGTAATGTTACCATGACAACCGTGTAATGTTACCATGACAACCGTGTTATGTCACCATGACAACCGTGTAATGTTACCATGACAACCGTGTTATGTCACCATGACAACCGTGTAATGTTACCATGGTAACCGTGTAATGTTACCATGACAACTGTTCCCTTCTCTGAAGACTAGTCTATCCGTCAGGTCTAAAAGTGTCCTATCCGCTAAAAGTGTCCAGTCAACAAGAAGCTCAGTTCGGGAAGTGAGTGTCCCTATTGGTGGGGGCACGATGCCTGGTGGGGACATGGACTTGGAGCAGCAACTCCGAACTAGGCCACAGTCTAATAAAAACTATGACAGAGACTAGTAACCTATCTCACCATTTCTTAACTGTTGTTTTTGTACATTTTGATAGGGATTAGAGAGGATAAAAACTGTAAACTTGGACCTTCATTCGTGGAGTTATGGAAATTACTTATATCTTGGTGACCACTGAATAAAAATGTAACAAATAATCCCTTCTCACCTGACATCCTTCTAGCTAATTAACATTTTGTTTTGTACTAATAGTTTTTAACCACGAGATTGAGGAATGTGTTATAGAGACATTCCTCAATTCACCAGATACTTATTGTATTGTATTCTAAACTCTATGAAATTCTTTGTAAACACTAAGAGCTTCCAATTGTATATAATTGTGTTTGTTTGGAGAAAATGGAGATAAATGGGATCAATGTCAAAATTAAGAATAGAATGAACCCCTTTTTTGTTTGACTTAAACCTTGTAACCATGGTAACGGCTTATTAGATAGAAGTCTTGTAAAACTTAGTCTGCAAATAAAATAAAACAACAATTATTATATTTAACATTAGCCAAGAATGTGAATATATGGATTGGAATGTTATTAAGATGGTTGATAAAATCCTGAATAAATATATGATAACATGCTTACTTATTTACAACGTTTAAAATTTTCTATACTACTGTTACCATGGCAACACTACTGTTACCATGGCAACACCACTGTTACCATGACAACACCAGCTGTTACCATGACAACACTACTGCTACCATGACAACACTACTGTTACCATGACAACTCTACTGTTACCATGACAACACTACTGTTACCATGACAACACTTCACTACTGTACCATGACAAGACCATGACAACACTACTGTTACCATGACAACACCACTGTTACCATAACAACACACGTCTAACATTAGTAACCCAGGCTGAGGGGAGAGAAAGGGTTCATGGATCCAATAGAGAACATGGCAGCAGAGGAAGGAACGGGAGTGCAGATGAAGAAAGTGAGTCTGAAACTGAGTGAAGCAGATAAGAAAGCTCCTCTAATGTCCCGACCTGTTCACATCTCCGACTTTAGCAAGTAAGTAGCGACTCTGTTACGTGGTATGGCGCCACCATATACTTTTAAATTGGTTGGAAGTATCGTATAACTGTGGTAAGCAACATCATTGCTTTTGCTTTACTTATAGATTTCATATTTAGTCTTCAAATTGTGTAGTGTGTATGTATAATTAACGATAGCTTTTTGTAACCAGACGGCGATATCACATGACAAGTGTAAGTTTCCGTTGATTTAAAGCTGTCCTACACCCCCACATTTCATCCTACACCCCCACATTTCATCCTACACCCCCACATTTCATCCTACGCCCCCACATCTCATCCTAAACCCCCACATTTCATCCTACACCCCCACATCTCATCCTACACCCCCACATTTCATCCTACGCCCCCACATCTCAACCTAAACCCCCACATTTCATCCTACACCCCCACATCTCATCCTACACCCCCACATCTCATCCTACACCCCCACATCTCATCCTACACCCCCACATTTCATCCTACGCCCCCACATCCCATCCTAAACCCCCACATTTCATCCTACACCCCCACATCTCATCCTACACCCCCACATCTCATCCTAAACCCCCACATTTCATCCTACACCCCACATTTCATCCTACACCCCATATTTCATCCTGCATCCCCACATTTCATCCTACACCCCCACTTTTCATCTTACGACCCCCACATTTCATCCTACACCCCCACTTTTTATCTTACGACCCCCACATTTCATCCTACACCCCCACATTTCATCCTACATCCCCACATTTCATCTATAATACACCCACCAACCTAGCCCTCGCAGCATTGCAGATTTCTTTATTCACTGTTTGAGCTTCTTTTTCGGGGTTTAAGCTTTTTAATGTGGTTCCTAAGTCTCGTTGAAGTGACGCACATTGTTACCATGACAACACTGAAATTACCCACATTGTTAGCCGGGATGCATCCTAATTAATACCCGGTTCACTATGACCGTATAAGGAGTGTCACGTGGTATGAAATCACACCATAAACTCTTTCTCTCTCAGGTACTACGATCTCTTGACTAGAAACGACGACCGAGAACTGAAACAAGAATTCAGCACTTTCGACTCATTCGATGACAACAATACTTGTTACCATGGCTCTATTCCTGAGAACGATACCAAGAACCGCTACAAGAATATCATTCCATGTTAGTTTACTAATTGGATATCCCTAATTAAAAACACCAATTTTAAACTGGTTATAGATTAATGTAACCTGTGATTTAAAATTAAAAGTTATATCAGAATTTATCCAAAAGTCTCAGATCTTCCTAAGTCCTCTAAAACAAATCATTACTTCATAGCTAAGTTCCAACCAAGGCTAAGTTCCAACTAAGTGCACCCAATTCACCAGATATAAGAACGCTCTGTTTCAGTCGACCACAGCAGAGTTAAACTATCTATAATGAACGATGATGTGCACTCTGACTACATAAATGCTAGTTACATACACGGCTACCACAAACCCCGAGTTTTCGTTGCTACTCAGGCACCACTCTACGAGACTCTGGATGACTTCTGGAGATGGTGTGGGAGAAAAAAGGTCAGTGTTATTATAAGTGGTCACTGGGCATTGTTAGAAAGCACATAAAGGTTTTGTACAAGAACTGTAGAATCTAACCAGATCTCCCTTTAACACACACCGTTGTGATGTGTAGAATCTAACTATCATCTCTCCAGAGTACTATGGTAGTGAATCTGACTAAAGTGGAGGAGAACGGAAAGACAAAGAGTATAGTGTACTGGCCCAGTGTGGAGGAGCGAGCTAAACAGTTCGGTCTAGTCAACGTGAAGAGGGTGGATAAGCAGGAGAGTGAATACTTCGTAGTGTACTCCTTCGAGATAAGACACAAACTCGAGGTACGTGGTGAAGTATCTCTCCTCAACCCCCCCCCCCCCCTCCCCTCCCAACTTCACCAAATTATATCCAGTTCCCACAAAGTTAACAGGACTCTGATTAGGGTTAGGGTTTGGTTTGTTCTCGAGTTTACTGTGTCTCTAAAGTAAGATGTGTTAATTGTACTGTGTTTCAGGAAGGAGTCCGGGAGGTGTATATGTTCAACTACGTAGGATGGCCCGACTTTGACGTGCCCTCGAGAACAACTGAGTTTGTTAACTTCATCTACAACATCAGACATCTCTCTTCATCAGACCACCCATGGGTCCTATAGTCTGTCATTGCAGGTTGTTACCCCAGCACTTGCAGTCTTGAGCCTCATTTTTGAAATTTGTGTGTTAGTTGGAGTCAACTTTTCCTGCGCTGTAGGGCGTTAACATTTCCTTTGAAATGGCACTGATTAACATAACTAAATCTATTGCCGTAAGTGGAGAAGTTGATTAATTAAAGTATATTTCAGTGCGGGTACAGGCCGAACAGGAGCATATATTGGTATAATGAACTCATTAGATAGGCTTATTAACAAAGAAGACCTGGATATCCTGGGATTAGTGGGCTCGCTTAGACAGCAGAGACGCAAGATGGTCTTCACTAATGTGAGCTTAATTAATCTTATCTAACTCTTTACTAATATGAGCTTAATTAATTTTATCTAACTCTTCACTAATGTGAGCTTAATTAATCTTATCTAACTCTTCACTAATGTGAGCTTAATTAATTTTACTTAATTCTTTACTAATGTGAACTTTACTTAACTGCTCATTGTGGCACATTGAGCTCCAGAGTTGGCCAACAGTTTGTTATTCTGTTCATTTTCAGGACTTTACCACATTTCTTTTCAGACACAATACAAATTCCTGCATAGAGTTATGATGGATATTGTGACTAACGACAACTTCGACTTATTGAAGCAGAGTGGCTTCCGAAAAAGTGAGCACTTTCAAAGATATTGTTTATTGTTTTTAACCGCATAACATATCTTAGCTTAAACAATGTCACCAAGTCTGGACCACACTCGATAGTTTTCTCTGAAAACTTGCTGCGCTTGAAATCTAATTGCCCCATTTTAATTAAGTGAATACTGAATATCCGCGATGTGGTGGTCTTGTTTTCTCGGATTCCTATTTTAATGATTTTCCTAAATTTAGACTATTTTGGACTTCTTGAAAACAGTGCACTTTACGAAGAAGTGCATGCCAATAACACTACTTTAGATTGTAAGTCATTACGCGTGCAGTGTGTATCTCCAGGACGTAGTCCATTCTCAGTTTCATGTTATAATTTAGGATGAAAATTCGATCTATCTGTCGTAAACGCTGTGGTGGTATTTCGCTGGTGTTTAAATTATCATTATTGAACGGAAAACTAATTCAATATCCCCAAATAAATTGAACATAAAGTTTAAATTTATAACAAGGTCCCTTTTCAGAGATAGAAGTTCAAGGTGTGTTGGAAAACCCCTACGTCTCAACAAGTGAGAGTGATGAACTAGACGAACTAAATGACACTAAAGTCTAGTTACCATGGCAACCATGTCAGTTGTGTACATAGTTGCTATAGCAACAGTATCACCTTCATACCTTTTAGTTATGGGACTGTTTGGAGTAACACGTTTTTGTGAATTCTGTCTCTAAAATTTCAGATTGTCCAGTGATATGTAATTATTTCAAACAGAATAAACGCCACATCAAAAGTGAGCTTTTTTCTATCATGATTACCGAACATCGCCGATATTTTAAGTCTTTTTATACGTTCACTGACTTTATGTGTATACAATATACATATGCTAAGGGAAATGTATATAGTTGTTGCAGTTTTTGAAATTTCTTAGCTTACGTTTCTACATGGTTTCTGAAAAATCAAAGATATGATAATAATAAAATTCAGTTTATGATATTTCCAGATCTGGTAGATAACCGGTTGAGGAATTTATGCATGATTTTTGTGGAGCCACCTGCCACATTCTATTTCTTTTAATATAAGTGAAAGATACCTCCTGGTAGAGTTTTCCCTTTTAACATTTCATTTTAAACCGGGTCCTGTAAATTAAGAGTTATTTTTATTTGAGTAAAGTTTTCGGTACGTTTTTTAGCTTAAAACTCTCACCATTTCAGTTTTTATTGAATGTTAAAGAATGTTGTCGCACAGTTATTATACACTCCAGTCGGTGACATGATTTTCTGTTTACACTTTAGATTCAGAACTTGTAGATACTTTTTAACTTAATTGAATGTAATGTTACTATGGCAATCATGTGTTGCAAATGTGGTCACGTGACAGTGTTGTTAGAGGAAATGTTACTTGTAAGTTTGCTAAACTGACTAGTTCCTATTTTTAGTTCATGTATGATTCAGAAATGGTGCTAAAAGATAGGATTACTACTAGGATTACTAATTCAAATTGTGTCGTTAAATTACTTTTAGTTTATTTACATAACAATGACATGGCTGTTTTATTCGGCTCTTATAAAATATTGTTATATATCTTTAACTGTACTTAGCTTGCTAATCGATTTAGTTTATTGCTCAATGCTCATATCGCTCCTTTATAACCTACCAGGACGCGCGCCGAGTTGGACTCGTCGACGGTCCTTGGAACAAATATTTTACGAGTATCACCGTTAATGGTTAACGTACAGGAAGCTTGAAAAGAACGCCGCGCACATGATGCACACAGGGCGCTTTAGCTTGGCGAATGGCGAGCTTGTTTAGGTTTATACAACTTACCGCACCAAGACGCGCACCGAGTTGGATTTAAATATTTTACGAGTATCACCCATTAATACGTAATGATAATGGCAAGCCAGACAATTTTATTTCTCGACGCCCGCGCCAATTTAGGGTTGGACGGGTTTCTGCTAGTTATAGTCAGTGTACTAAGCGCCAAGTTGTATCACGTCGTGACCTCCACGGTCATTTCACTATGGACATGGTGTAGAGTTTTCAGTTTCAACGATACAGGGGGAGCCGCGCACTCGTGCGCGGCGGGTCATACAACGTATGACAAGCGCGATCACAGAACATTTTTCTCCGATTATTGAAATGGCACGCGATTTCGATAAATTTGGTACCAAAAGTTGTTTAAAAATGCGAATGAAATAATTCCACCGTGTAGCAATTTTTGCTAAAAATGCCATGCTACACGGCGCTTGTTCGCCGCGCGTGCTTTTTTGCGCAAACTTTTTAGTTTTTGGCCTATATAACTTTCACATTTTCAGTTATTACCACTAAATTATTATGGCATCGTAATTTGACGGATGTTACTTTGTACTTGTTTAAATTTCTTCGAAGTAGCGCGCGCCGCTTTCTTCTCGAAATGGCTTCTACGAAGAAGCGCTTAACGGGTGATACTTGTAAAATATCTTGTCATACTTTTTTAAATTGACGATGTCAGATCAATTCATGGCAGCTTGGCGCGGCACAGTAGCGCATTTCGCCGATCTGTCGCTGTGAGAAGCCTTATTGAGTGCGCGGCGCGGCACAGTAACGCATCGCGCTACAAATACGTTGTATGACCCGCCGCGCACGAAGTGCGCGGCTCCCCTGTATCGTCAGGACTATAGTGAAACGACCATGGGGGTCGCAACGTGATACAAAAATATCTGTTTCATATATTGGACCGTCGACGAGTCCAACTCGGCGCGCGTCCTGGTAGGTTGTAAACCTACAATGGAATCCTCTACACTGTTTTCTTTATATTTCGTATTTCGTGCATTTTTAGGTCCGGACTGAGACCTTACTGAGCTAAAATTCTTCGACTGTAACAACTTTCAAGCTTGACCGAGGTCCGGGTGTTTAACAAGTTGTACTCAATGAAGAAAAAAAGAAACAAGAAAGCCTTCTTTTTTATTTTGCCAACTCTACTGAGCTCCATTGCTGGTTTAATACCAATCTTCTCAAATATTCCAATATACACTAAGTTTGTTGTATAAAGACGCGCTTTATTAAAAAAGACAGCAAGCTTTATTAAAAAAGGCAGCAAGGCTTCATAATTGAAAAATCAAAGACGCCACAACAGATTTCATTGTCATTACTTCTACTAGCAAATTTAAAAATGGGTTGCGATGAACTAAAGATGGTGAAGCCTTTAAAATAGTCAAAATTTAAGACAATAAAGCCTTCAGCAAAGTTAACCGTCTTTATATAATGAACTGAGTGTAGTGGTAAGTCAGCCAGTAGCCCATGTTCTGTCTCAATGGAACATCAATGTCTGCAGACCCTCGTTAAATGTTTGATTACTGGGGTAGTTGTTAAGTCAGTCCATGGTAGCGTTCAACTAAGGAACTTTTTTAATTACTTTGGGTCAACCATAAGGGATACCAAAAAGAATCTGCACTACGCAGCTGTTTGGATAATCATATAATACTGCCTTGCAACATTTCCGTTTAAGGGGACTGGGGGTCTTCAGGAAAATTATCTCGAAATAGATTTTGTAGTCCTTTCTGATAGAGGGGAGTGATATCTATCAAGAAAGGCAACCTAACTACTCACATAAAATTTAACGAACAGTTACTAAAGGCTATCGACCTCAATTCTGAAGGGCATGATCAACAGACTAGATCACTAAATGTTGACGTTAGTTTTACCACAGAAAGAATTTGACTCTCTGACTATGAGGAAATCGATAACGATACCAACAACGACACACAACGACTAAATTTGAAAAAGTAAAATTTCTTGTCTGAATGAACTATTAGAACCTCAAGAAGCTGATCCGTGTGTCTCCGCTACTAAAATGTTTAATGAGCCCAATCACTCATCACTTAACAGTTTAATCTTCAAAGTGAGTTGTACAATCTAGGTTGTTTTAAGTAGCTGTTGATATTGTAAAACAGAATAGCCCTAACATAACGATCAAGCCACAAATTAGGTCCCTATAATGATTTAATATTGTTGAATAAAGAGATTTGAATATAATATTTGTTTTATTCTGAATATTTGTTTTATTCTGAACACCATGCAATGCTACAAGGACGGCTCCAAAAAACTAGATGTCGTTCACCGCAGACATCTTCGCACTATTTTGAATATAAAGTACCCAGGAGTCATCTCCAACAAAAACTTGTATAAATGCTGCAATGCTGAACCATTGTCAGAAAAAGTGGCCCGTAGTCGGTTGAGAATGTTAGGACATGTTTTGCAGGGTCCTATTGACGGACAAGCGTTTTCTTCCCTCATTTTTGCCATCAATACACTGGACTTACCAGGGAGAAGAGGAAGACCCCAAAGCAATCTATTCTCGCTGATTGTGCATGATTTATGTCAAAGAAATCTTTATTTGAATAATATCTTTGACCTGAATTATCTCCGTAATTTAGCTTATGACAAGAGATATTGGCGGAAATTACAATGAAGTTTTTGATTTTTAGTTTTTGTTTTAGGGAAAGATTAGACTTGGGCATTGTTTTTTAACTATCCCTTGTTTAGAACTTTGATTTAAATTTAAAAAATTTCCTGAAGACCCCCCTGGCCCCCTTAAACAAAAATGTTGCAAGACAGTACTATATGATTCGTTGATCGAAAATCATGAAACTCCAGAACTGGCTTATATGTATATATCCTCAAAAAGTTAATTATGAATATCACAATTAATATGAAAATAATAAAATTTTTCCGCTATTTGACCGAACAAATAATAAAATAATCTCTGGATAGAATGAATGTAGAAGTCTTACTCTTGGCACTGATTGGGATTGTCATAGCGGATAATACTTGTACTTACATAAACCAGAACAAAAACGTGGTTTCTGTCAGCAAAGTTTCTAGAAGTTCTGGTGGCAACACAGAAGAGATTGATGTTCAAGTTGGGGAATCAATAACAATTAGGTATGTTAATACATGTGTTATAATTACCCTTTTCTAAGTATATTCATTTATGATCAATTCAGGCATTGATATTTTTCTGTCCTTCATACCTTGATTTTTAAAGTAGTAATCAACTGGCTTGATGTTACTTTTGCAGTTGTGTAGATACAACCAACAAAGCATTCGAGTATGGAGCAAAGACTGTTTACAGTTGTGATGAGGCATCCACTGACAAGGTCAATCTTCCTCTCTGTGTTGGTAAGTACAAATTCACATTCAATTTAATACCACTTTTGTTCTACACCTTTTTCTGTTCAAAGCTAACACAACAAACCAATTTCATTTATTGAGGATTTCCTTATTATTTTCTAAAGATATTGCACATTGTATATAAGAGTGCATCCATTGGCTGTCTACTAGATTTTGTCAGCATTGGAATGTCTCATTGTCTTTCACGATCGAATATTAGAAAGTTTTAAGCTCTCACATTTTCAGAACTTAAGGCAGTATTGAATTGAGAGTAATTGTAGTGAAGTCTGTATATCAGTTTACAGTGAAATATTAAGTCATTAGGTGGTCTTGCATTTCCGTGAATACAATGTACACTCTTTACCAAACTATCATATCATATACCACCAATAACGGATAACCTTATTGGCTTATTGAGTTAGGCACATACTGTAATACTATATTAGGCATATGTTACTAGCTATTATATTAGGGATATATTACTTTTATTTGCATTTTTATGCCCTCTCTTGCAATTTTGGGATATTTCATTCAATCTTCCATGTAAATTCTGGACTGTAATCAGGCAGCACCTATATTGGTCTAGTATTTCGTTTACACTTATAATCCGCCCAAAAGAATAAGCTTATCCTTAAATTTTAAATCTTAAATATTATGCTTAAAAGCCCTCCAGAAAGAAAATTTGTGAACAGAAAAGTTGCAATAAAGAATTTCATTGTTACTCAGTATCTATTGTATTAGGACATGACGTGTTGGGTTCATTGTATACAGAAGATACATACACAATACACATCAGGATGTGAAGCGTTGCTGCGCGCGCATTGGAGGACGCAGGCCCTTCTTCTGCAGCTCTGTCTGAACACCAATTATTCCATATAAGGAATAATGGCAGATTTCTGAATTGTTCGACTTTCAGGATGAGGATCGTTTAAGAGGTGATTTTGTCTATTGTTACTGAGATAGTCTGCATCTAGTGACATCATTGAGGTCCTCAACTCTGAACTCTAAACTCTAAACTCTCTACTCTGTACGAAGAATTTGCCTACTATATACTGTTTACAGTGTTTTGAAGATGCTAGTTTCGCATAAGAAAGCGGGAGTTCTAGGTTATGGGGCGATTTAATGGGTTTCCGGGACTAGGTTGAAATGCAATGTTTAATGTTATTATTAAAGGGGCACAGTTTCACGTGATGATTAGCGGTCCAAATGGCCCTTGTAACTGTAATGCAAGCTAATTGTTCCTGGTTAGAAATGTGCAGTTTTCGCAGCATTTCATCAGATATGTCTGACAATCTTAAGATCACTCAACACTAGACACTGATTTGTAGCGCACTTGTACAATGTGTGTTTATCAATACTTTATCACCTTAATTCTCCGTGTTTTAAAGAAATTTGAGACATGCAATAATGACATTCAGATGAGTTCAGATGAGGTCACTACAAAGTGAGGAATTCTGTAATATGAATTGTAGACCTTGGGAATCGCGGTGTCATGGTATTAAATCAATACTCTCCATAGAATCTGTTGCTATGGCAACCCTTCATTAGAGATGTCCCTTGTAAAGTAACTGAACGCATTATTACACACTTTACATGGCCCTCAACTGGATTGCTGAAATGGTCACATCTCTTATAGTTATTTATATATTAGTAAAATATCTCAGTTAAATCTGAGATATTAGGATGTATCTCCATTTATGATTAAAGAAAAAGCTTTTAGACTTTAGAATGCTATTGCAATTCCATTAGCCATCTTAGTTAGAAGAAAGATCTATTATGTTAAAATATGTGTCGTGATATGAACCTCTTACTAGTCAGTTGAAACTAGAATATAAAACTGGTATCTACAGAGACAGAGACACTAATAGTTAATACAGATTACAGGTTATCAATAAAGGGTTGTTTCTGAAGACACACTGCTATATTATATACAAAATAACTTTATAATTAACAGTAATCTAATCCCCCCTCCCCTGGGTATTAGGTTGAGTATTGTGACTACAACCTGTTAACTTGACTATATAGCTGTATTCTGCCGTGTTTTTCTGACTAAATAACTACAGATCTAAGTTTAATTGGTGTCACAGGTTTTCAGAATAATAAATCTCCGAATAAAATGTAAGCCCTTCTACTTCAGTATCCTAATTGTAACCTGATCTCGCTCAGATAAGTGTCAGACACTGTTAAACCTGGACCCAGACCAAGTGTCAGTGTTTGTACTAACAGACGGAACTGTGGTTACTGATCAGACGTTAGCTAAAAGTACACCTGTAACCATACATTGCAGTCAAGATGAATACGCTCAGATGTTCAAACAGGTTGACACCCAGGCGTGTGAACTGTGGAACAGTGACGCTCTCTGTAAAAGTAAGTCAGGGTGGGGTTTAGTGAGGTTTAGTGGGGTTTAGTGGGGTTTAGTGGGGTTTAGTGGGGTTTAGTGGGGTTTAGTGGGGTTTAGTGGGGTTTAGTGGGGTTTAGGGGGTTTAGTGGGGTTTAGTGGGGTTTAGTGGGGTTTAGTGAGGTTTAGTGGCGTTTAGTGGGGTTAAGTGGCGTTTAGTGGGGTTTAGTGGGGTTTAGTGGGGTTTAGTGGGGTTTAGTGGGATTTAGTGGGGTTTAGTGGGGTTTATAAAATAATATCACTAGCGTCATGAAATTTAGAAATGTTTTACTAGAAATTATTTATAAAAATTTGGCTTTTTGCCAATCTGCCCGTTAAGTCCCTCCCATTAGCCTGACTATCCTGTCATTTTACACTTACATGACAAAGTTTAAATCAAGAGTTGCTACTTGAACTGCATGCCAAATGCCAGGACCTATCTTTATAAGCACTTCTGCATGTTTGATATATTTCTAAACAGAATATGCATCGTTGGAGGTGTTAAATTCCTTGTTTATGTTTAGAAATGGGGCGTGTCAAAAACAAAATTATAAGCCAAACTTGTTGGAAATAAGACATAAGCTATTCAATTTATTAAATAATTGCCACATCTAACTAAAACACTCCACCAATATTACACAATTTTTTTCTCCGCATCAGACGAACTTTGGTCGACAACATGAAGATGTTACACTTGATATTATAGCGGCAACAAAATAAAGAATTACCTTTCAATTAAAAGAGAAAACTTACAGCTGCGCCCTAACCTGGAACCAATTATTGCTCCCTAGACAATAATGACTTGAGAATTAGAATCAGTAAAGCAAGAGAATTGTAGTCAAGTTGGTAGTGAAGGGTTTCGAACTGTGACGTTTTTATTGATAGTTATTGGTGAATTGTTCCGTACCGCTTGTTTGGAAGGGTTACGGGGTTAATTATTATAAGAATAAGAAAACACCGCTTCATGGTTATAATAAGCCATTATTTTTCTCTCCGACAAAAATGTTGTCAAGAATAAACAATATTCAGTGACCAGAAGAGCTCAGGACATGGTATCCAAAGAAAATAGATCGAGCAATCGTTATCACAAATAACAATTTCACTAAGAAATCACGAAGAAAATTCTATCAAAAATGTACAGAACAACAAAAATAAACAAAAATCCTTCTATTAAATTTCCAAATGTCCAATATATATAATACCTCCCAGTTCCCACCTACATTCTACAACCCCCTTTTCCCTCAGAAATGTGCACCCTCTCCTCCTACTCGCCCCTCAACACTGACCTCGCCAGTACTGGAGTAAAACCCTCTCTAGCGGACCCACAATACCTACAAGTTGGCTTCTCTGTCTCCATCTCCTGTAAAAGTGCTGATTACGCTCAGCCCTTGGGAGCAGCGTCATCCCACACCTGTAACCAGGATCACGGGAACGATGCTATTGTCATTGAAAACTGTAACAGTAAGTGTGATGTTATTTATTTTAAGTGCAGGGTGTTCTATTATTATATATAATATGTGCGGATGTGATTTGCTTTTTAAATAAAACGGTGTGGGATAATTTATGTCTGTAGAAGGGTTTTTGTAGTAGGTGTGAACGGGGGATTCTAAGATTTAGAGGTTGGCCAGCATAGCGACCACAACTGGTTACCTAGCAATTGAGACTAAAATTCAATAATCTGATCTTAGGGTTTTGTAACGTTATTGCATTTATTGTAAACAAGCTAACAACCCTTCAGAGATGTGCAGAGTTCCAACACCTCCCACTGACACTATCTACCAGGCTACACAAGATCAACTCAGACAGGGACAAGCTTTCACTGTCAAATGCACAGGTAAATTATATCATGTTACATATTTCATATATTATTTCATATTAGATTTCTGTGTACAAATTCGGTAATTTGTTCTCCTTGTTACTTAATCTAAGAAGAACATTTCTTTGATAATAATATTACATAATTTCCCGAAAACAATGTTATATTTATCACAAAGAATGCTCTACTTCTCTGATCTCTCTAAAATACTCCTCCCACAGGAGCCCTGAAGTTCCCTATTGATCAGACAGTTAGAGAGGTAGAGTGTCAGAGTGATGGTACTTTTCACACTCCCTACCCTACTTGTCAAGGTAAGGGCATGTTATCCTGTTAGAATGTGATCGTTTATATTTTGTCGTTTATCTGTATAATTATTTAATCCAAATGCGGACTGATAGGAAACCTGCAAAACAAAGTACCTAGTGAGCTGTGAGCCCTTAAATCACCAGAGATTCAGGTAAAATCAGCTCCGAGCCTCGGATCCAGAATAGTATACCACGTGGTATAACGCGTGGTATAACACGTGCTATACATATCAGGTGTTGTGTGTCCCACCTGGTGATAACATGTAAACACCAGTGTTTCTGTTCCACCTAAGTGTACACCTGGACCTCACACTCTCACCTGACTGAGCTGCTATATAACTCTAATTTAGCCTTAACCCATTAGGGACGACGAGTTTTAAAGTTTGCCGATTTTGATGCCGTTTAACACACTAGGTCACATTACAGCAAAAATGAGATATCCAAAAAAGCTAATCTGTATCTCGTTTACTTTAAAAGATACAGCTATGGTCGCATACGACCCACTCGTCCGGGTCGCAAACGACCCATCACGGTTTTTCGGCTATTACTTCTGAAACAAAGACGTTAGGATAAAATAAAAACTGTAGCATAAGTTAAAAACTTATGGTCAATACTGTGTGACTCTAGCTTTTCAAAAATAGAGAATTTGGGTCATTAACGACCCACTCGGCTCACTTGCTTATTACTACATTTGTCCATGTAACTTCTTGAATTCAGCCTAAAACATGACATCATATGTGCAAAAACGCCTCTCAGCAAGTGATTATCATCATAAACTGCGAAAAATCGGTTAAATGGGTCATTAGCGACCCACTAGGACCACAAAATTGATTAATTAAATATAATGTTGTCAAACTATTACAAATATTATTATAAAAACATGTTATATCTTGGTCATTACTCCTGTACGTTGATTTAACTTTTAAAATCGACCAACTGGGTCAATAACGACCCACTCGGAAGTTGAACCACGTCATTAATTATCAGTATCATGCTGTTCCACCATCAAGAAAGACACTCGTAGGTCTTAACTCCACACGGACCACGGTGGCTGACCACTAGCCCTCCTGAGTCTGGAGTCTCAAGGTGATCTGCAGATCACGTCACCCAATCACTGACAAATAATGGGCAGAATTGGATTGATAGGTAGGTGAGTTTATCAGCTGTTACTACACGACCGTAATGTCGTGGGACAACAAACAACGTGCCTATCTTTTCCCGATTCCTAGTCCAAGAAGAACTATACAACTGCTGGATTCAGATTTCAGATGGCTGCATCTACTCATTTCGCAGCTTCCTTTCTTTACTTCTTTATAGGGGCCGTTCACATTGACATAATATAATTACGTTATCACTTATTGGACAATTTTTAGCCCCGCCCCCCCCCCCACCCCACCACATAGCTATTATGTCAAAATTACACTAGCGTAATCATTTGGAAACCCCCCTCCCCCTCGGCCGATGACGTAATACTTGGTTTCGTTTTGAAAGCTGCCTCGTTGTTGCGGGGTTGTTACCCACAACAAAGTAGTTGTCTGAGAGATTGCAGGTTGCAGCACCGCCAGCCAGATGGGGGGGGGGGGGTGCTTTTTCCTTGTCCTTCTTCGCAGAGCTGTAGATTTAGCCATCTGAATGCAGCAGTTGTTTAGTTATTCTTGTACTTTCTAGGAATGTCAAACAGATTGGCATGTTGGATTAGAATATGCAATTTGACCGCTCTTCTTTCAGAATTTACCCAAGGTTACAGGATATCTCGTAAACTTCGTTCAGGGGATTTTTCTTGAGTGACCGTGGGACCCTGGGTCTCAAGCGGTGAGTTGTAGCAGGTCGTTTACCAAGATACGAAATTGACGAAAAAGGTAACAGAATCTAATAAGCAACAACAACAGCATGGCTATTATCTAGCAAGTTAGGAACGAGGGCCGATCTCCTTTTCTTTTGCGACACGGCCACGGTCCTTTCGGTACAGATTTCCACGCACCATAGTCAGGACGCAACTCCAGGCATATGCAGTCGTGTTATTCTCGCAGCTCTTTGATGAGTGATGACTGCCCTTCAGTTGGCCCTGGATCTCATAATGGCTAGTGGTCAGCCACCGTGGTCCGTGTGGAGTTAAGACCTACGAGTGTCTTTCTTGATGGTGGAACAGCATGATAATTAATGAAGTGGTTCAACTTCCGAGTGGGTCGTTATTGACCCAGTTGATCGATTTAAGAAGTTAAATCAACGTACAGGAGTAATGACCAAGATATAATATGTTTTTATACTAATATTTGTAAAAGTTTGACAACATTATATTTAATAAATCAATTTTGTGGTCCTAGTGGGTCGCTAATGACCCATTTAACCGATTTTTCGCAGTTTATGATGATAATCACTTGCTGAGAGGCGTTTTTGCACTTATGATGTCATGTTTTAGGCTGAATTCAAGAAGTTACATGGACAAATGTAGTAATAAGCAAGTGAGCCGAGTGGGTCGTTAATGACCCAAATTCTCTATTTTTGAAAAGTTAGAGTCACACAGTATTGACCATACGTTTTTAACTTATGCAACAGTTTTTATTTTATCCTAACGTCTTTGTTTCAGAAGTAATAGCCGAAAAACCGCGATGGGTCGTTTGCGACCCGGACGAGTGGGTCGTATGCGACCGCAGTTAGTAAACAGCGTCTAGCTCTGTTTGTGAACATTTGATTATCACGGGCTTTTCATTTGTGCCAAGGAAATCGTTGCCCGCAACTATTTTGTTCTCAAAAAAATAAGCCTACATAAAGTTTTAATGTCCCAATCAAGGCAAGAAGTTAAGTGGAATATTTTCCAAATATGACGACTAATTAGTCTAATTATTTAATTGTTAGTGATTAATTGGGTCTCGGCTGGAAAGTCAATAATGTAGCCCAATAACTTTTGAGCATATGTGCGAAAGATTCGTGGCGTTTAGTATTTTGGTTTGTCCTCTGTAGCCTCTAGAAAAGGTGGGTCGTAAACGACCCTATCGTCCCTAATGGGTTAACATATATTATATTACTCTATTAGAATTTATAAAATTGTATCATGTAGTTTCTAGATCGTAGAGTAAAACTTTTAAATGAAGCTTTCTCACGGTTACCTGTTGTATCAAATTAATTTAGTAAAAACAAATTTAGTGTTCTTCATTTAGTGTTCTTTATACTGATGATTTAATACGCAGTAGCACATAAACTTGATTATCATAACTGATTTATTCTTTATAGTAGTAAAAACTGATAATAGATTGTAAAGTGGATTAATAATTAAGAAACTACAGAACAGTAAGATTAATAGGTAAGGTATGATTGCTAATCAGCCCCTCTATGAATTACCCATTTAACCAGCTACAAATCTCCATCCCTGTCCAAGCAATGGTCTCCCCAGAATACCCTGACCTCTATCATTAACCCCCTCAGCTACGTGTAAGATAAGCGCTACAGACTCCGCCACTACAAAGCTAAACAAGACAATAGTAGGAGGACTAGCCCAAAAGGAATCAGTGGAAGTGTCGTGTGCTGATGTTAACTTGTTGTTACCCTTCGGGTACAAAACACCCTGGGTTATCACCTGCGGTCCTGATAATCTGGATATTGATGTACCTGCTTGTCAACGTATGTTACTCAATATTTACATTCATGTCATTGTATTTAAGTTACAAATTTAGAAAAATTAATGAAATATAAAATTATGAGCTGGTGCTCCCCACATTACTATAACAAATCTCAGTTATCATATTATACCTAATCCCCTTTATATCTATTGTTTTATTTCAGAAACCTGTGCTGTACCGGCTGCTCCCCCTCACGCTACACTGTCCCAAGTAAACAGTACCCGTTTGAAGCTCAGAGAGCCTATAACGGCTACCTGTAAAGAGTATTACAGTTACGAGGTGGATATGGGCACCTCTAACACTAAGGAGTTTACTTGTTCGGATACAAGTGGCAGCCCTACCGTGGATATCAACGACTTTTGTTATGGTGAGTGGGATGATGCAGCTGACTGTAACTAAGTGTTACTAGGTGTTACTAGGTGTTACTAAGTGTTACTAGGTGTTATTAGGTGTTTCTAGGTGTTACTAAGTGTTACTTAGTGTTACTAGGTGTTATTAGGTGTTACTAGGTGTTACTAAATGTTACTAGGTGTTACTAGGTGTAATTAGGTGTTATTAAGTGTTACTAGGTGTTACCAAGGTAAGTGGGAGATACAACTGACTCAATTTTTGACTAAAATGTACCCTTGTTCATCGTTACACCATAATGTTCTGAAAAACTCACGCAAAACTTTCGTTATTCTCGTAAATCAAGGAAGTAATTGAATCTACATTTAAAGTTACATAATATTTGGAGCATGTCCTGTAAGATACATGCTTGATAAGTATGAGATGTACCAAGGGTCGGATGCTGAATGCAGATAGGATCTTCAATCTTCAATCTTCATCTGAGAGCAAATAATTGGAGTCTCAAACTCTAACCCGTCAGTAACTCGTACAGTGATATTGCTACATTGGTAAATTGTTCTTTGTATTATCTAAATAACTTCTAAGGATTATATCGCCTGTGTGACTGAGATTCTAATTGAGATTAGCGTGCACTTTACCCCACCCATAGTGTCTTCTTAAACACTTACCTGTCTAGTCTGATCTCGTAAAACGGTTACTTGGTGATGTCTAGTGTTGCTATGGTTACTTGGTGATGTCTAGTGTGAAGTCACAGTTCACACCCTCTTTTTCCCTTTTGAGTAGACCTCCAAAAAGAGGGAGATTTTGTCAAGCGCTCGGAAATGGACAGCCTTTGATAAAAAAAGTAGATATAAGGAAAGGCTGTTTGTTTGGTATGTTGGTTCGGTTTATCTGTAGAAACAGGTTCAACCGATTTAAATAGGAAAAATTAGATGATTTCATCTATTTCTAACGACACCCAATTAATGGTTCCTAAAAATACGGTTGAGGAAATTAAGAATCCGCCATTTGTTGCAGACTGTAGTCTCTTTCACCCAGTTTTCCAAAATTAGCGAATTTTTAATTGAAACAGTCACATTGTATCCTAGATCATCTGCTTTTCAGTATGAATGGTTAATTAAGTACGGTTTATCTCTAACCATGACGTTATAACGTTTAGTTCAAGTTAAATTTTCATGTAAATTACAAATAAGTGCATTATAACAGGGAAATAATTGACGTCAATTCAACCGTTCTAGTCGTTTTGTCTGAGGATTGAATTAATTAATTATCAATTATTCTACTCATTAGTAAAAGTAATTGCACGCGGAAACTCTCCCAACCAAAGTAGTGGTACAGTGTGGGAACTGAGGACTGATTAGAATGTGATTGGTCACGTGACACTGATTGTACAGTGGTGTGTGATCATATTGTAATTATGTATTATATCATTATTGTATAATTATTAGCTCATCCCATGTTATCATAGTGATCACTCAATTTTCAAACTCAATTTCTGATTTTCAAATTCGAAAATGCACGTCAGAGTATGATTGAGCTCATTCCAACTTAATATTACATGTTAATGTAATAGCCCCACTTTAATGTCGCACTTTTTACACTTCAATGGGCCGCATTGTAAAATGTAATCAAAGAAACTTATTCAATGTTACTTATTCAATGTTAAAGGTAACATGACCTATTAAAACAAGGCGCCCCCTAGAAAAAGGTGGCAACTGGCTATCTACCAACATTAGATATATTCCCCACTGTTTTACCATGTGGCACTACCATGTGGCACTACCATGTGGCACTACCATGTGGTACTACCATTTGGCACTAACATTATCACATAAGTTACCCTCTCACTGTACAATAAAATATGCTGTGAGGATTGAATGACGGGAGGTAGAATCAGGATCCTGTAGTATATATATATATATGTATAATTGAACACTAAAGTTAAAGGTGTAGTGTTTCACATGAGACGAGGTCAGTAATAAGTTTAGAACGTATCGTATGGTGCACTGTGTGTGACGTGTGTGCGTGTGTGACCACCCAAATTGGAGTTAGCTCACACAACATGCGTTTCAAACTGGAGCAACCCGGGTCAAATTTCTGCAGTCAAAGTTAATTTATATAATGATATTATGTTGAAACAACGAACCCTTAGGTCTGAAATAAAACCATCTACCTTAATCGGGAATATTATGACTGGGATAAAGTGGTGGATTTTGGAAAATTCCGCCATATTTTTCCCGGTCAAAAATTTTACCAGTCATAAATTAACCCGCAATAATATTCCCGAGTAAGGTATATTCTCTGAAGTCTGAAGTAACGCTATGAAAATATGTTTCACTGTCGTGACACTGTCGTGACACTGTCGTGACACTGTCGTGACACTGTCGTGACACTGTCGTGACACTGTTGTGACACTGTTGTGACACTGTTGTGACACTGTTGTGACACTGTCGTGACACTGTCGTGACACTGTCGTGACACTGTCGTGACACTGTCGTGACACTGTCGTGACACTGTTGTGACACTGTTGTGACACTGTTGTCACACTGTTGTGACACTGTTGTCACACTGTTGTCACACTGTTGTCACACTGTTGTCACACTGTTGTCACACTGAAACAACGAACCCTTAGGTCTGAAATAAAACCATCTACCTTAATCGGGAATATTATGACTGGGATAAAGTGGTGGATTTTGGAAAATTCCGCCATATTTTTCCCGGTCAAAAATTTTACCAGTCATAAATTAACCCGCAATAATATTCCCGAGTAAGGTATATTCTCTGAAGTCTGAAGTAACGCTATGAAAATATGTTTCACTGTCGTGACACTGTCGTGACACTGTCGTGACACTGTCGTGACACTGTCGTGACACTGTCGTGACACTGTTGTGACACTGTTGTGACACTGTTGTGACACTGTTGTGACACTGTCGTGACACTGTCGTGACACTGTCGTGACACTGTCGTGACACTGTCGTGACACTGTCGTGACACTGTTGTGACACTGTTGTGACACTGTTGTCACACTGTTGTGACACTGTTGTGACACTGTTGTCACACTGTTGTCACACTGTTGTCACACTGTTGTCACACTGTTGTCACACTGTTGTCACACTGTTGTCACACTGTTGTCACACTGTTGTCACACTGTTGTCACACTGTTGTCACACTGTTGTCACACTGTTGTCACACTGTTGTCACACTGTTGTCACACTGTTGTCACACTGTTGTCACACTGTTGTCACACTGTTGTCACACTGTTGTCACACTGTTGTCACACTGTTGTCACACTGTTGTCACACTGTTGTCACACTGTTGTCACACTGTTGTCACACTGTTGTCACACTGTTGTGGCATTCATATTAATCGTCGTTGTACCTAATAATAATGTCTCTCCAGTGTATGCAAAGTTATCCAGCAAAACTACTGGTACAGCAAAGCTTGAGCTAAAGGGTGAAATAAACGACGGTGGAAACTACGACAACGGTGATACTGTCGTAGATTTTATAATAACAGGTTCGTTTGTTCACTTAAAGTTATTAAATAATACAAAATAATTCAGATTACACAGATTATCTAAGAACTAGATAACATGTTTTATGAAGGAGACAGGTACAGACTCTTTATATAAATATTTCTTCTTATTTTCTTTCTTACCAGTTATCTGCCCTATCTGTCTACACTGTTGTATTTCAAAACATACCAATCATATAAAATACATTGAACAGGAGCAACAACTGATCTGGCGAAGCAAGCAAAGCCGAATGTAGCAGTAGAAGTTGTTGTGGGTAGCTATGAACCACTAAAAGTGGAGGTGAGGACTACTTCAGTGGATAGTAGTGGGGAGAAGAAGGTTATTATTATCACCGAGCAGGATATCTACCCTGGTGAGCCAACTTAACGTTTTTAGTTATCACTTTTACTTAAGGTTTAAATCAAATTATTTACATATGTATAACCATCTTAATTTTCCTCTGCAATGTAGATCTGATTCTCCTCCTCCCCCTGCCAGGTCCCTCGTCACCACCAGCAGTACAACAAGACTCGGCTAGCTCCACTGTTAATGTTCAGCTCGTACCATCTGCTGGTGATGTTATCTTGGAGAACGTAGTACAGGAACATCTTATAAAGTAAGTGTTCTTTATCAGTACATCTGTAGCTAAGTGTTACTAGGTGTTACTAGGTGTTACTAGGTGTTACTAGGTGTTACTAGGTGTTACTAAGTGTTACTAAGTGTTACTTAGTGTTACTAGGTGTTACTAGGTGTTACTAGGTGTTACTAGGTGTTACTAGGTGTTACTAGGTGTTACTAGGTGTTACTAGGTGCTACTAGGTGTTACTAGGTGTTACTAGGTGTTACTAGGTGTTACTAGGTGTTACTAGGTGTTACTAGGTGTTACTAGGTGTTACTAGGTGTTACTAGGTGTTACTAGGTGTTACTGCTGGTGATGTTATCTTGGAGAACGTAGTACAGGAACATCTTATAAAGTAAGTGTTCTTTATCAGTACATCTGTAGCTAAGTGTTATTAGGTGTTACTAGGTGTTACTAGGTGTTACTAGGTGTTACTAAGTGTTACTAGGTGTTATTAGGTGTTACTAGGTGTTACTAAGTGTTACTAGGTGTTATTAGGTGTTACTAGGTGTTACTGCTGGTGATGTTATCCTAGAGAACGTAGTACAGGAACATCTGATAAAGTAAGTGTTCTTTATCAGTACATCTGTTTTGCTCTAAAGATGTGGGTCATATTTATCACGCATATATCTTCAGTTCTGTTTTCTTTTCCATCAGGATTTGAGGAATGTTTGCAACACAGCTACCATAATGATTTTATATGTGATATCCTGATAAGAGCATTGTCTATGAGTTGCTTTTTTAATGTGTTCAAATTGTCTGATAATCAAAAAGGAAAACTGCTTATTTAGTAAAAGGTAGCAGTTGTTGACAACCTTTTACTAAAATTGTGAACACTGAACAATTATTTTATTGTTAGAATTTAACGCCTACAAATGAATCGTTACTAATGTTGTATTGACGCCGAATTTCTCTGATCGTTCACAAGTTTGACATTAGCTGATTAGCTCATCACAATGTGAATCCAGTGGCATATGCTGAAATGACCATGACTTATTGTCTTAACAAAATACTGATAAATGCATGTGAAGAGCAGTTATTACTTTCCTCGTTGAGTTATATCCAGTACAATCAACGAATTGAGCCATATATTTAGAATACATCCTTGCCATATTATACTACTTATAGTTTATATTACTAGCTGTAGTGGTCAGTTACCCACCAGTGTCACGTGTGCTGTCCACCAGTGTCACGTGTGCTGTCCACCTGTGTCACGTGTGCTGTCCACCAGTGTCACGTGTGCTGTCCACCTGTGTCACGTGTGCTGTCCACCTGTGTCACGTGTGCTGTCCACCTGTGTCACGTGTGCTGTCCACCTGTGGTATTTTAGAAAATAGATGACTTCACTCACAGAGCTGTTCTCAATAAATAACAACGTTAGTGGTCAACACACACGCACTGGCGTGACGACATGCTTGAAAAGAAAGCAGTATTAAAGTAAACAAAACACAGTTTAACTTGAGGGATTTGTAGCGGTGTATTTGTAGTTGTGAATGGTAAGAATAGTACAGGTTACTACTGCTTCATAAGAGAGTTGGGATCATGATATGAAGCAAACATTAACTGGAGTTCGTGATACAACGTACAAATGATACTTTGTGGATACTTTTTGTTACTATACTAAATACTTGTGTTTATTACAGCACAACTAAGAGCAAGGCTCTTACTACAAAGCAAGAGTGAGGCTTGTTGGTACTTATGTAGCTTGAATGCAGTGAAGGAGAACTAATGGACGACTTAACAAAAGCATTTTTAAAAAAGTTATGTTAGAGTTGAAAAGCAAGGCTTTCAAATAAATTAAAGATCCTAAGTGCCACCACAAATGTAACCACCATCGAACTTTAAACAGGTTATTTATAGCCTGTATTGCACAATATTACATAAACAATATTTGATATTGCAGGTACACGATCCAATACACCAACAACGGTAAAGATGAAACAATAGATGTCGGTAAAGATGACAGAAAGATACCCATCACACTTTCTAACTTATTACCTGCTACAACTTACACTATAACAACTACTACAGTGTTACCTGTAGAGTATGGCGGAGAGGGGGACCCTACTTCATCTACTGTTTACACTGGTAATATCAACTTAGTATTTCTGATTATTAGTTTATAATTTTGTAGTTTAATTGTACTCACTACTCACCACACACTACCTATATAATACAGCTTGAGTCTTGTATCCAGTGTATTGTTAGACACCTGGTCTCAATCTAGTGTACATTTGTCTGGTTGTAATTTAATTAACTTTCTTCATATCGTTATCACCATATTTGGACATAATCGGTCTGACCATTTGTACATTGCTTGTTCGACTAAGGCACCATCCCACATTGAGATGTATATTTCACATTTGAAAGGTGTTTGTGGTTTTTGGCGGAATCTTGTATATCTGCACGTTTATTCGCATTGTGTATATAGGATTGTGTTTCACAGTAAGTGTTTCAAGTTTTACTGATAACAGTTGATAAGCAAGCTGCTCATATTTAATCTTCTTGCTTGTGCCAATAAAGGAGATTTGCTTACGAACTGAATGTAGCGCGCGAGACTTTGATTTGTATTCTCTTTTTAAGTGTCAATTCGCACTATGACCATTTGCGCGCGCGCGCGCGTTGCGCGCCGCACAGTATGCTCATATCATGACGTATATACATGACATGATCGGCATAATGTGCAGTTTTCTTCATTTCCGATTAGAATAGAATATACATCCATCGAATTTACTAAGGCCTAGAGGGAAAGAGAGCTATTTCGTTAACTAATTATTAATTTTCTTGGATAATGTCGTCGGAAGTTCCAGTGTAATTTACTAACTTACTAAGAAGGGAAGCTTTCGAGTTGTATCAAACTTGTATTCTTACTTGTGTCATATTGATCTCACACTCAGAAGTGACACAAATATTTGATTAAAATCATTTCATGAATATATTATAACAAATCATTAAGCTTTATGCTATCAAATAAAGTAAACCTTCATATCCATAATCCAATCAAAGTATACGGTTTAAATCGTTGCATAATCAATGATAATACATATCCATAAAATTCTATTAGATGAAACCATGTAAGAGTTTACGTTTAATAACTTATGAGCATTAAAACTTGTGACTCCGGCTTTAGTACGAAGAAAACATTTATACAACATAAAATAATCGTGGATTAAAAGGTTTACGAGAGATTCCTTTCCTTCTTAGCGATCACTTCTGTCTTCTAGATCCGAGAAAATTTCAACTCCGCATTATTCGTACAGCTTCATCATCATCTGGGTTCTTCATTCAAGGTAGAGTGTCATCAGGAATAAGTTAAGTGATCAAGGTGGAGTGATAATACGAGCACAGCTGCAGTTTTAGGTAGTATTACGAACCTCTCTGTTGTCTGCAGACTTGTTCCTTACCCCTCATCCTCTTATTCTTGAACCAGTTACACACCTGCATGTAACTCAGATCACACCTCTCTGACAACTCCTTCTTCTCTAGAGGAGTGGGGTATTTGTTGTTGTTGTAGAAGTCTTCTAGCTGATCTCTAGAGCTCTGTTTGTAGCAGTAAAGGGTCCTCTCACCGTCCCATACTGTAGCTGGGAAGGGGTATTTCTTTCTCAGTCTGTATCTGTCCACTGCATTGGGAGGCTTGCCTCGTCTGAGTTTAGCGAACCCGTACACAGCTGACAACCAGAGCTCTTGTAGTGTGTCGTGGTGTTTTGGGGAGAAACAGTTGGTGGCTATCATCTCCATTACCCCCTTGTGGTTGCCTTGTAAGTGAGCTTCTTGGATCTGGTCAACTAGGCTGGCTTCTTGGTGGTTGTTGTAGTTGTAACCTTGCTGGGCGATCTGGGGAGTGGCGTTGTAAGCTGCTATCTGGTTATCTTTTCTATCTTTATAATGTGTACTGAGCTCTTTTATATCCTCATAATCAGTTCTGATCGGGATAGGTATCAAACGTGGGATTGCTTCCTCTGACTTCACAAGGTTGTTACTGTAAACACAGGAAGAAGGCGCTGGTAAATCTACTGGCTCCTCTTTAGCATTCTTCCAAACATCAAACTGAGTCTCAGGTCCAAACATTGTGTCTCTAAAAGAAGCTCCGCTATCAGATTGTTCTGGAGTCTCAGGATCACCAGTCTTTTCAGAACAAGACTCGAACTGACCTTCCTCTGATGGTTGGTACAGAGGATCAAACTTATCATAGTGAGCCTTTTCTTGAGGTGAGAGATAAGAGTTGTGGGGATCTGTTTCAGAGTAGGGAGGAGGAGGAGGACTGGGGTAGATACTGGGGTAACCTCCCCCCGCAGCTTCTAGGGTAGTGTTACCGATGAAGTAGTTGGAGATGTAGACGTTGTGTTCTGCTGGGTGAGTGTTGTAGGGTCCTGCTGGGTAACTTGTGGGGTAGCTGGGGTTGTAGTACATGTAGTTATCCATTTTGAAGGTGATATCAACGATTGCGAAACTGGAATGATAAACAAAGATAGCTTTGAAGGTGGGATCATCGGTATTTATATCAAACTGAGGGTAGAGATCGAGTAGACTCTTGAAGATCCGATAGTCTTGTTAAGAAGTAAGGAGTGAGCAAGTGGTTGATCGAAATGAGGGCTTCAGATAAGGATCACCTGAAACGTGTCACGTGATCAGGAAATCGTATCACGTGTCCTGCAAACCGACATCCAACACACGTCATGATTGTATACTTGACACTTAATCCGGTTTCACGGGTTCCTGCACGCATGTTCTTCGCATTCTATCACATCGAGAAGTGCACTGTGGCATGATGAACAAGCATACCGGAACAGAATGTCGGAATTATATATTTTAGTTTATTGGAGAGAATGTCTGAGTTTGAAATATTTTGCTTTCAGGACCAAGTCAGGTGGATGAGGCAACGTTTAAGAGTACTGTAATTGAAGATGCAGTGAAACTCGAGTGGGGGTGGGTCACGCATTTTTCTATTTCAGAGTCGTTGAAATTGCAAAACACTTCATTATCATCCATGATCATAAATTGATCATTAGCAGATATCTCAAAATAAATTGTCAAAATATTCGTAATTGTTAAATATCTAATCTTCAGTTCTGTTGACGGAGCTGATAAATACAAAGTAGATCTGTTTGAGAACGGAACGAGCACAAGATCCCATTATCCAAAAGATTCCAAGATTGAGTACGTTAAATTCAACTCCAAAACAACCTATAAGCTGGAGATAAGAGCAATAAGAGAGGTTGATATCAACAGTAAACTAGTCGAGTATTCCGGAGATATCCTGGACAAAGAGCTCTCAGGGCGTAAGTTTGCTTTGTGGATATTTAATTAGAAAATACAAATGTTTCCGCTAATAGTTTATTGGAAAAGTGGTAAAACCAACGATATCACCGCTCGAACCGATAAATCCGTACGACTGTCGTCTGTCAGAATATCTCACACATTGATCCTGACACCACCCTCTCTCTTCCCCAGCTCCACCAGCCCCAACTACGGACCAGTTCGAGGTAACCAACACCAGCGACAGTGTGACAGTACGGAGAGTATCCTCTGAGGATCAGACAACCCGCACTAACATGGTACAGGGTGATGGTGTGGGGTACATTGTGTTTGTTAGTCATAGTGGGGTCAAGGAACAGAAGACACTTGCAGGTTGGTAGCTTATGTTGGGGTTTGAGAACTATAATTAAGTGGGAATTAGGTAGTGATCTATCAGTTGTTAAGAGTGTTTTTCATCAGTAATTTCAGTTTTACCCCCTCCCCCCTCCGTAATCAACCGTAATTAAGACCCAACCCCCCCCCCCTGACAGCAATATTACGTAATCATGGCCTGACCCCCCACCCCCCCTTTGACTTTTTTCCCTGGAAATCATTTTTCTTTACGTTTCATGCTACCCTGATCATGATGAGATGATATCATTGTTATGATATCCGGCCAAGCACCTTTCAAACTACTTACTATAGTCAGATATCCGATTAATTTCTAAATTTTATCACTATCAGAATGAAACTGAGTGGAATTTGAATTAAAATTGTTATTTTAGAGGGTAAAAAAGAGAATTTTTAAATTAACGATCAAAAATCTCCCCGCCCCCCCCCCCCCCCCCCCCCCCCGTAATCAACCGTAAGCATTTGTAAACCCCCCCCCTCGGCTGATTACGTAATATGTGAACGACCCCTTAGTGTAGGGTTATGTTTTTAAATGTGGGACCAGCATACTGGCAACCAAAGATTCTGCAAATTTCACGATTTTACATTTCCGCAGCTGAGGAACCCTCCCTCGTGCTTGGAGACCTGAGGTTATCTTCAGACTACGAGATAATGGTAGCCCAGACTGTAGGGACAGGTTACGGAATGAAAACCTTCCTCAAATCCTTCAAAACAGGTTTGTAGACCAATTAAAACCGTTTTGGTTGAAGGGAAGGGATCCTAGGGATAACAAGCTAACACAGTAACTTTGCAGCGGACTGTAGAACACTGGACTGTGTGAACTGCCAGGAAACCACCCAGTTCGACTACGTCTCCTTCGAGACCGCTGTTACCGTTAAATGTCTGGATGAAAACTTCATTAGGGAGAAAGACGCTGAAACAGGTACGGAATTGTTATATAATCATCATTTGTGATGAGACTATTATAGACGTCCGCATTGGTGGGGATCTGATCGAGAGCTCCTTCCATTTTTGAAGAAAACTTCTCAATTATATGAAAATTTTCTTCACATCCTCATCATAAACCACGTCTACAAATTGCGATAATGATTTTGTGGTGACAGTAACCCTTCATGCTCTCGTGTTTGAGCATAGGGAATGATCGGTTAGAAACTCATTAAATTGGACACTTCCTTACAGGTGAGACAACGTATAAAGCAGAGAAAACTTTGCTCTGTAACGGAAACAACCAGTACGTGGATCAGGACAATGAGAACCAGATTATCACCATTATAGAGTGTATTAAACAAGGTAATTGTGGTTTCGTCAGATTACTTTCCTTCTATATATCGACCGCGAAAAACTGGCCGCCCAGACCCATTCACAGATTGCTTGAAGATATGATAGAACTATACTAAAAGCTCGCAACATAGAGGGCAGACCTCCGCAGCTGTGATAAAAACAGATGCTGTACCCTCAAACTCTAACCCACGGATCCCCTACTTTTTACAGGTGCGGTAATTGATCCGGTAGGTGGAGACTACACTTTATACTACATCATAGCTGGAGTAGGGGTATTCTTGGTTCTTATAATTATAATCATCATCGTGGTTATAAGACGAAAGAGAACTCAGGGATCTTATAACGCTAAGAAAGCTAAGGATACATCTAAAAATGGGTAATTCAGTCATTTTCCTAAAACGTATTGATGGTATGTTTTCTTTTTATCCGGAACTTATATTTTGCTACCTCGATCAAATTAAAATACAAATTACCGATAGTCTGGATCAAAGATCTGACAGTCGAGGTAAAAAGGAAAATGTTGCAGCCTCATCCAAACTGAATTTTCAGGGTCGCATCTCCAGACTTGGGCTTGGAACAACCAAAGACCTTTGTAAACGATGATGCCTTCTTCGAAAACAAGTGAGTAGCATCATCAGTCCATTGATAATCCTTAGCAAATATCCCAGGTATTCTTTATGCTAACAACCTCTTAGAAATTGGAAACTTGAGCTACTATAACAATTATCATGCTCATGCTCTGATATGGCAGCTCTTATTTGATACACCTAAATGTCACTGTTGTTATGGTTACTGTTGGTTGAACAGTAATATCTCCCTAGGTGGGATAACGAGTTACTCAGGGCTCAGTCAGGACGCAGTAAAGCTACTTCTTACGGGTCACAGGTTTGTTGTTTTACTAATTTTTTATTTTTTCCAGTTAACGTTACGGTTCACAAACACACTATTTTTGTTTATAAATTATTTAAAATTCCTTCAGGAATATTTGGTGTGAAAAGAACCACAAGAGTGAGAGAAAAAGAATAAACGGAAATGAAAACAGTGAATGTGAGATCGAGAGTAAAGTAGCGCCAGAACTTTCTAGATAACTTCAGAGACAAACACATTTGTGATGAGAGACACATTTTTATTAGAGATTGAGATATGAACTGTGTAGGGACAAAATGAAAAACTAGAAAAGTGCAATTTTTATATTTGTCAAAAGTGTAAAAATGTTGAGTGAGATTAAGAATTAAAAAAGAGTGTGTGCATGCAGTGTGTTGTTACCTAACAACTGTAACCTAGCAACACATGCAGTGTGTTGTTACCTAACAACTGTAACCTAGCAACACATGCAGAGTGTTGTTACCTAACAACTGTAACCTAGCAACACATGCAGAGTGTTGTTACCTAACAACTGTAACCTAGCAACACATGCAGTGTGTTGTTACCTAACAACTGTAACCTAGCAACACATGCAGTGTGTTGTTACCTAACAACTGTAACCTAGCAACACATGCAGTGTGTTGTTACCTAACAACTGTAACCTAGCAACACATGCAGTGTGTTGTTACCTAACAACTGTAACCTAGCAACACATGCAGTGTGTTGTTACCTAACAACTGTAACCTAGCAACACATGCAGAGTGTTGTTACCTAACAACTGTAACCTAGCAACACATGCAGTGTGTTGTTACCTAACAACTGTAACCTAGCAACACATGCAGAGTGTTGTTACCTATCAACTGTAACCTAGCAACACATGCAGTGTGTTGGATAGTGTGAATATGTTGTTAATACCTTAAATAAGTTTATGACATTGTGATTTGTGAGCTGTGACATTGGTGAAAATTTTACTGATATGAGAACTGAGAAGTGAGAAGCATGGACAATTTGGCACATTCTGTATATGAACGGAAAGTTATTTGGACACCAACCTAAACACATTTAACCTACTTATTTACTATTGAGTGGCCCTGTGAGGAGATTGAACCCAGTAACCCCGTGTTTTAGTAACCCTGATTTACCAGGAATTACGGATGACGATAGCGGACAGTGACAGTGGTATCACAGAAGACCTAGAGAACACATACTTCAACCCCACTCTGTACAGTACTAACTGTGAGGACGATACTATTTCTACTAAATCCGCCCTCGTGTGAGCAAGGGGTATTACCTAGCAACCGTAACCTAGCTACTGTAACCTAGCAACGGTTTACGAACTTTCAGTTAACTCAGATCAGTGTATCACGTGAGAGAGAAGAGGAATTAAAACTTTGCTTTGTTTCTGTGATAAATTGGTTTTGGAACTGTGTAGGGGATTGTGACCACAAACTTTAGAGATCATCATCTGAGAAACAGAAGAAGTTCTTTAATTAATTAATGAAGCTGACGTCAGGACTGAAGACTGTATTATAGTATAGTTACAGAGTTCAGTAACTACACTAGCTGCTACTGGAGTAGTAAGGACAGAGCTGTAATAATTATCAGAGTCACACTTCTGTTTGCTTTACTTGGAATATAGATTGATTATAACACATTTTAATAAACTGTTTATTAATTCAAATTTATTTATTATTTGATCAGTACGTAGGGAGTGTAATTAAGTAATCGTACGTTGATTTATAACAATTTATATTTAGTTTTGTTTGGCTGTACAGAAGCTAACAAGTTTAATAAACTGCCAGAATACGATAATTAAGGTTTTTACGACGAGAAAACTTCGTTTTGAAGAATAGTTCAGATAAATAATTACACGGAGAAATAATTAGTGATTTGTAATAACTCTGACTTATTTTAAATTGCCTGACTTGGGAGCACCTCATTATACCTAGTATTTAGTTTAGTTCCTGTATTAATATATTATACAGTAATATAATCTATTTAACTTAGATTTCAGACGATCACCAGGGTTATTTAATATAACAGACGCATTAATTAACTCCTGATTTACCTTACTACAATCACCTGTTTAGTTATTATTTATACGTATATCACAGTAATAATTAGAATTTAAATCTACGCTTTATTAAAACTGTTGATAAAGTTCCATTGTAATGTGGCGACAAATTTTATATTTGATTTTTATTCCCTTTTTTTGGAGGGACACTTGTTTATGTAGCATTTTTGTACCATGATACTATGATTTATTTGCCAAAAATAGATAACCCAGTTTTTATTGTCCCATTGTATCACACGAGGAAAATAAACAAACTATTGAAAATCACGAACTCTTTGTTCTGGATGAAGCAACAACTGCACGGTATAGAAAAATCACGGTAGAGAGAGATTTAGCTGTATGTCTAATATAGTTTCGGGATAATGATAGGCATGGTTTGGAGAGTTTTTACTGCAATTGTATCTTACTATTCACCATAAACATTAAACAGTATATTCAAGATTACTATCACCGTAGAATATTCCTTACCAGAGTCAACATAAAGACCTTTCCCGAATTCTTATTTCTGAAAACTTCCACTTCGTCAAAAACTAACTCAATAACAAATCAATAAAATATATAACACCCATTAATCAAATATACATTTCTGACTTCAGAGTCTCTAACTAAACGTCAGAGTCTCCCATTCCCCGTTTTGGTCCAGCCCGAAGACCCCGATTTGGTCCGGCCATAAGTTGTCGGGGTTTAGAAACTGCCTTTTCCTGTCTTCTACTTTCTTCAGCCTCACCGCCTTTCTTGGGCTTGTAACTTCTTCTCTCCACCTACGTAGAATGAAGTTATAGGGTTGGATAAAATCTCGGGGGAACTACGAATAAAATCACAAATGTTGATATCGAATCGACATCATGGGTGGGCTGCGGTCAACTCTCCCACTCTAATTTCGAGCAAATGGTGGGATCCAGCAAACAATGCAGTTGTTTTACATCTTCATCGAAGCACTTTGGGAACATCAAAATTGTTCTAAAACGAAATGTAGATAAGAGGGACCAATTATAAATTATAATTATTTGCTTAAACCTCTAAAGTATACAAGTACAGGCAGAATACATGTCCATAATACATGATGCATACCTCTATAGGAACATCAGGGGTTGGTCTTCCTTTAGTCTTTGGCATCAAGAACAAGAGACCAAAGCAAACGATATTCATCACAGCAAAGATCATCAGAGCCATATATTTGCTCACCTCATACAGCTTGTTTGATCGGGCTCCAAGAAATGAACCTGAAATACGAAATATGAAACGTGAGTCATGAACATGACCTAGCTTCATATAAATCTTGTTGGTATTTTACCTCGTTTCCTACTGAGCCCGAATTTTATTTGATACAAACCACTAAAATACTTTGATTTTCACATTATCAAATGCTTACTTGGTTAAAAGAGGAGAAATGAAATGAAATAATGTCCTTGTATACCGCCCATATGGTTAGCAACTGACAAGAAGAATTTTCAATAAAACTGATAAACTCATTATAATGTTGCCAGCTATATAATACATGGGCTTGTTCCAACAACAACAACATTGTTAACTGTTTATTAACTACTGACAACACAAGTTTCAGTGGTCTAGAAATGAATATCTAACTCATGAGTTTCTGAGAATCTGGTTACGAATGCAGCGTTCCCAATTCCCTGGAAGACCGTCCAGAATACCCTCCCAACTCGTCTTACTAACACCCTGGCGTATTCGTTCAGTCCTGTGTTCCTTACCATGTAAATCACTGGATTGATCAACGAGTTTGCTGGCATCATAATAAAGTATATGAAGTTGTCAATAGATGCCTCTTTATATGCCTCATCATTTGCGGTATCCATGTAAGAAATATAAATGCTAATATAAAGGGTGATCCAAGTGCCATTGATAAGAACAAAGACCAAAGACAGTATAAGGATCATGACAGTAGCTCTTCTGTTGGTTGAATTATCAGGGCGACCCTCAGGGTCCATTACCTCAACTATTGGTGAGTTGAGGGCTCTAACAGTTGTTACACTGCATACAGTCACTGTCACTACCATTACCCCGACAAGTATGTATTCTGTTATTGTGATGTAGGATTGGATGAACCAATTTTTCTCCAGCTCTGGATTCACAGTGCTTGGATATTTTAACATTTCTTCAGACAAGATGATATCGGACATGGCTTTAAGTGTTACCCATTTTCCGATAGCTGTACTGAACAGAAATATTAAAGCGATGATAAGGGCACCCCAAACTATTCTCTGTCGAAGGATATAAAGTGGTTTTACCAAGGCAACCATTCTTGTAGCGCTTAGAAGTACTGTTAAGAAGCAGGAAACTAGCACTAGAAACTGAAATGGAGTGTAACAAACTGCCTGCCATACTACAAAGTATGTTCCGGCTCTTCTGGCTGCTTCGATCGATTCCTCTGTTGCGTTTTTATCCTCCGTAAGTTCATAAAGTTCCGCTTGTCTTCTGTTCATCGTATTAAAGGAAAGTATATTAACCATAGACAGGATACAGAGAGACAGATCACAAATGTTCAGAGCGATTATAAGTTTGTTTCCCAGCCCTTTTTTCTGCTTCCTGAGGTTTGGGTGAGTGAACAAAAATGTGAGCAACAATTTGCGGTTGAAACTTTGAATCTAATAAAATATCAGAACTTTCAGCTGAAAGTCCCAATGAGGTACAGTACCTGATGAAAAAGGAGAATGACGTTCCATTAGCGATGATTCCAATCAACGATAAACCACAAATTGTTACTCCAGAAATAAACACAAATTCTTCTGAATAGAAGAAATTGCTATCAGATTCGCTCATTTTGAAACGAAAGGTGTTCTTTTCCGAATGATCTCTGCACGATTTCGCTTGCGAATCCAAATATTACTTAGAAAAGTATCAAGTAAGGCCTGGCAAGTGTACACTGCTCAGGTATAACGAGTATATAAATATAAATATACCCATTATAATCTCAACTCATTGAGCACGTGGGACATTATATCACATCGAGTAACTGGTATGATCTTATGATGATTAACCGCTGTTTCATTGGGTGACCGACAAAAAAACTTTTAATGAGTACAGCTGGTTTGATGAGTTACCGGTGTTTTCTGGAGTTATATAAGTCCTCTCCTCATGGTCGCTCATATTAGTATCACTAACTCATGTGATGAAATACCCGCTGGACACCCGACTTTACACGCTACATATTGGCAACATTGTGTTTTCATATTGTTGTTTATGTTTTATATGTCAAATATGTTGTAATATCATGATGATAAAAAGTAAATGAATAAATAGTTAATAATTAAATAAATAAATAAATAATTTAAAAAATACTCAAATCTGGCCAACTACCATGACTAAAACAATCCTTAATTTTCACAGCTTGTTTGAGAATCACGGAATCGCAGATCTGGCGCCTGTCACGGAGAGATTTGTTACGCGTGCTGTTAATTGGCTAATTGGTGTGGTGTCTGTAATGATAAGAGTTCACTAAGTACGCACTAAGTAAGGGCACCCTAACAACTAACCTACTCTGCAGGCAAACTGGCAGGTGTTGAATATCCTGCCCCGGTGAGTAGTGGGTGACAGTTCGAATGTGTAGAGGTAGAGACTGGAGAAGGCTGCTGAAACCCCCATGTTACCCAGCAGTGCTGTCAGCTCCTGGACCGAGATTGCGTTCTTGATTCCAGGAAACGGAAACATCATCACAACGAACGAGGCTCCGGCTGGGTAGGCGATGTGTGGGTTATCATTGAGTTATCTAACTTTGGGGGAGTTGCACCCCACACAAAATCGTGTCTAAAATCTAATAGCACCTATGAATTAGAAAACCATTCCTTTGTTTGTTTTAGATCTAGGTTTAGCCTCAGCATGTCATCAGATACATTAGAATCCGACTCTATCAATATGTTTCTAAATTAAAGTTTAAACTTACCCAGGAAGAAGAAAATCTGGCAGGACAATTTCCGTCCGAGATACAAAAGGGGAACAATCGTCATGAGGCTCGCAAAAATCTCCCCGATAGCTGCAAGTTTAAATATCAAGAGTTTGCTCGGCTTACCAGCCAAAAAAAGACACGAATAAAATTGGCGAAAATGACAAGATCGCAAATCTAAATATAAACAGATGAAAATTTGTCACTATCTAATATCACTTCAGAAAACCAATACGAGTTTATTTCAACTTCTCCAAAGAAAGTTGGACTAACCAGCGTACAAGGTGCTGGGTACAATGTTTTTACTGAGTTGACTGAAACTGTACCCAAACCCATAGTAGGAGAATCCCACAACAAACCACAGTATTATCAACACAATCATCTCTTTTACAAACTTCCTGGGGACTATAAGATTAAGACAAAGTGTTTACTATTATTCATCGAGTTCTTCGTTAACTTGTCCGTCTGACCGATGATGCATACGGAAATAGTCACTTTTAACAGCATATGGTTTCAAAAAGATTTAAACAAAAAGGATTCTTAAAATTAACTTAATAAATTAACTTACGGATGAAGTCTCACGATATTGATACCGGTTATCTCATCCATACGCTGCTCGTGGAAAGTGAGGGCCGCTTTGAATTCTTTGAAGTGGAATGTTTCACCGTTCAAGCCGAACAATAATTCCAGCTCCTTTCTGGCCTCTAATTCTCTGCCTGTACGCATTATGTTTAGAATATTTGTAGGGTAACACCAGTAGTCAGGTTAACACCAGTAGTCAGGGTAACACCAGTAGTCAGAGTAACACCAGTAGTCACGGTAACACCAGTAGTCAGGGTAACACCAGTAGTCAGGGTAACACCAGTAGTCAGGGTAACACCAGTAGTGAGGGTAACACCAGTAGTCAGGGTAACACCAGTAGTCAGGGTAACACCAGTAGTCAGTGTAACACCAGTAGTCAGAGTAACACCAGTAGTCACGGTAACATCAGTAGTCAGGTTAACAGCAGTAATCAGGGTAACACCAGTAGTCAGGGTAACATCAGTAGTCAGGGTAACACCAGTAGTCAGGGTAACACCAGTAGTCAGAGTAACACCAGTAGTCAGTGTAACACCAGTAGTCAGGGTAACACCAGTAGTCAGGCTAACACCAGTAGTCAGAGTAACACCAGTAGTCAGGGTGACAGAAGTTTTTAATGTTATGGCGAGGAGGCGAGAATAGTAGTAATAAAATATCAATAATACTAACGGAGAGTGACTAGTTTGAATCTCGGCGAGTCAGGACCGTAGAGGAGGGGTATCAGGGAAATTACCATCAACATCCCCATAAACGACATGGTGGTTCCCCAGCTGAAATGTACAACGTGTCTGTACCTTTTCTGTCTATAGACAACACACAGAAAAGAGAAAAGTAAGGTATAGAATATAGATACCTTACTTTTTATTTTTGTAATCTGATGTATAGCTCGGACCAATATTATAAAGTTTATTAATAAATTGTCGCATTGATTCATATCATACTGAATTTCATTTCGACCTTGATCAAAATATACCAACAATTTCTATAATATCACTCACTAATTCCCTTACTTTTTGCACATGACGAAGATGAACAACTCGAATAACTGCCCAAAACTCCAGAAAACCATGTAAAAAGTTGACACAATGACTCGGAAACTGGACGGAACTATCTCCATCAGATAGATATAGACCGCTGTGTAGTATATTAACATTCCAAAACCTGTAATTAACTGGTCAGTAAGCCGAGGGAAATTGTTTTTTAATCGAGCAAACTTTTATCGTTTTAGGTTAGGATCAGGGGCTTACATTTCGTACCTCAAATATCAAAGTAAAGAATTACCAATCAGTTAAACCAGCCCCTGCCACATTATTGATCATTGATGATAACATTATTCTTACACATTTTCATTATTTTTATACATTTATACATTTATACATTTATACATTTATACATTTATACATTTATACATTTATACATTTATACATTTATACATTTATACATTTATACATTTATACATTTATTCATTTATACATTTATACATTTATTCATTTATACATTTATACATTTATACATTTTCCTCTTTTATTAACTGAATTTAACTATTTTTCCTACCTTGAAAGAAGCGGTATATAATCATTAGATAGGCGTTTGGAGAGAAAGCAGATACAGCAGTGACAGTAATAGAAATCACAAGTCCTATCATAGCAGAGGTTCTTCTTCCTATGGTATCGTACAACAACCTGTAACAAACAGGCGTTATTTGTTAGGGTGACAGTGGTTGGTATGGTCACAGTGGTTCTTGACATATCGTATAACAACCTGTAATGTCTGGTTACATTATCACAACAATTAACCATTAACTTGCCAAGCTAGGAGAGTGCCACAACCACTGCCAATAAAGAACATCTGAACGATAAGGTCCTTGTAAAGTCCCATCTCATCGCAGTAGAGACCCCACTCAGTGGAGAAGAAGTTTACATCACTAACGACCCAGTTGAAGTGGAGGCCAGCTTTCAACTTGTTGGCACATATTGTAGTCTTGTTGTAAATACTCCCGTCTGAAGGGTGGGACAGTAAATTTACGTAATCTGTATGATGGTATCATTGAATTGGGATAGTCAGCAGTTTTACAGCGATTGTTAAATATCAGAATCCCATTCCTTGTAAGTATACAAAAATGGTGTTGAATCACTTGTCAGTAAGCTAGCAGTATAGTAGCATTAAGTTAGCAGTAGCCCAAACTGCTGTGGTTTACCGGCCCTACGGGCTACGTATTACCAATGCACTATCTTTAAACGAATTTTTAGGTCTGGTAAACGTAAAACGATCGAAAATGTATAACTATTAACATGTTTGTTAACGAACAATGTACTCACTGGTTGAACGATTCAACGACTGAGTAGCTTCAAAACACTTGGGATTGGTAGTCACGTTACCGAGACAATCCCACTCACTGTACGGCAGGTGACCACAAAGGCTGTGGAACAGGGTCTGGGCTCCTCCCATCTGAGGTTCTCCGTGTGTTTAATATTTCATATTTACAGAAACATAAAATGGATATTAAATTATTACGTCGTGTGCTTATGATTTAGCTCATCTTCAGCTGCCACTACTTAAAAGATAAACGCCACCAACTACTGCTAGATGTTTTGTCTCTCTCTCTCTCTTTATATTTAAATGAGATTTAAAATTAGGGCTATGAGTTTGAGGTCGGGTTCCGGTTAGAGTACTAAAAAGAATAAGTTGTAGATTTTCATATTGCAGATATAGTGCAGTGCTATAATATGATGTTCCACTTACGGCAGATACATAAAGAATTCCCGTGATAAAGAGAGAAAACTTCTTTGTAGGTCTTTGGATGACCTTTGTCAAAATCTCCTCCGTTGCGAACAAATTTTTGCTCGATTTTGATCTCTCGGGAGTTATGAGATCTTTAAGTTTTAGTTCTTCTGTTTGCAAGGCAGTCATTCTAGCCTTCCTTGCTTTATCTAAAGCACTTGATGGTCGCGGTTTCATCATAGAGTTAGTGGATACCCGCCGTACGCTGGCATGAGTTTTATCCGGCATAATGATTTCTCCAGTCAGCGAGCAGCTACTAAAAAATCAAGCAAAGACATTCAAAACAACAGAAGAATAAAGAGTCTATAATTAACTTGGCTATCGTATCAATTGAAATGCAGGTCATGACTCAGCAGATGTGTGTAGTTCCTCAAAGATGTACCTTTACAAAGCTGCCTATACTTGCGTATTCAGGGCAACTTTGACTGTTTAATTTGAAAACAAAGCTATGGTTTTGTTCACAGACATGCATGTAATTATACCAAAACCATTGAAATCTGCTCGTACTTGATGATATTGAGGGCAAGGCACGGTATTTTACATTTTGAAACGAAATGAAATATTTTCCTTCATTCCATCGATTGAATACAAATTGCTGGTGGTACATGATTAATAAAGATGATTGGACTTATCAAATTCTTAAAATAATATATTATAGTAATATATGGCAATAGAATGTTATTCTTTATCTATTTTAATGTCTAATGACTACTAGATACTGGCTAGATACTGGCTAGATACTGGCTAGATACTGGTCTCACATAACATCTGCCTAATTATTGTGCTAACGAGGTTTTACCAGTTACGATGGCATCTAATACCGCTCCTACTAAATCGCTCGCCCAAATTTTAAGAAAATTCTTGTGAAAAGGCCCTTTGGGTATTTTTGGACGCTGATTCCGAATCATCCCCATGACGTAGGGTAAAAATGCTTCACTGGAGAGTTGTGGGCAGAAAACCGTTTTGGTCACGTAACAGGCTAGTAAACCATGAATTCGATTGTTAAGGGCTTGGGTTAGGGTAAAGGTTGTGATAAGGGTTATGGTTAGCTTCGGGGTTATGGTTGGGATTAGGGTTTATGTAAAACCGTTTTGTACGGCTGCAAAACCATAAAAACCAAAGTCACGTGAAATTTTTGGCCGAGCGAATTAGTAAAAGCCCGAAATATAACCAGATTTGATGATCATATCACAAGTCATCTTCCTCAAATGGGTTAGGTATCGTGCATTACATATTCCATGCTTAAAGCATCATATCAGTAATACCTGCTTTTTGAAAAAAAATTTTAATTTGACCACCTCGGTCCTGCATTTCAGTGTAAACTTTTACAAGATGTGGAAGTAAATAATAACTAAATCGCTCCGCACCCAAAATCAAATTTTAAGAAAATTCTTGTGAAAAGGCCCTGAAGGTATAAAAGTAATCTGGTTCTGTGTATTTTTGGACGCTGATTCTGAATCACCAACCCCTCGACCCCCCCCCCCCCCCCCCCCCCCCCATGACGTAGGGTAAAAATGCCTCACCTGGAAAGTTATGGACAAAAACTGTTTTGGTCACATGACAGGCTAGTAAAACACGAATTTGATTGTTTAGGGATCGGGTTATAGGGTTAGGGTTGTGGTTTGGGTTATGGATAGATATTTGGGGTTATGGTTATGGTTAGGGTAAGGCCCGTTAGGGTTGGGATAAGGGTTTATGTAAAACCGTTTTGTTCGGCTGCAAAACCATAAAAAGCAAAGTCACGTGATAATTTTTGGCGAGCGAATTAGTAAAAGCCATCGATATTACCGCTTGATTTTTTCTTCCGGCCCATGAAAACCTAAATTTTGTAATACTTGAAGTTGAGGCATGAAATAAAAAGCAAAATTGATATGCAGGCACGATCAGTGGTCTGATATTTAACGGCAGGATCTTTTTTATATTGGGGATTGGCAAGACATTTTTAAACATGTGACCATTTTATTGTTCATGGCATATAATTATATTATGTTCTTGAAAATTTTATCAAATTTGATGCAGTTGATTTATACTTATAGATTTATATGCATGAATCTAAATGTTACGTCATTTTTTAATTTAACTTAAACGCAGTGATAAACGGTCACGTACCATTTTGGATTAATTTCTGGTCAATTTAGAATTCTGTGGAACCACATGAATATATCGTATAACGAGCGGTAATTACGCCTAAAATTTACTTTCCGGTAACACTAGGTCAGTTGATCAAATAATATTTGATCAAAATTGAAAATTGGAGCAGTTAATTTTCCGCATATTACCACCACATATAAAGTGTATACCGAATGCTTGCGGAGCACAGTTTCGTTTCGTTTTGTTTTGTTAATTTGGTATAGTTATAACTCTTCTTTCGAAACAATTACCCTCGTACGTTTTGAATAATCGCTTCTTCTTTTGGAGTTGACACAGGTTACTAAATGTCAGTACAAAGGAATAATTTTAAACTGGCAGCTTTTTTAAACCGCGCTCTACTGTGAACACCAAGCCTCTTATTCACTACGATATTAATGTAAGGGCCTCCGATATCTTAAGTAAAGAATTGTTGAATAAGTATCTGTCTTGCTGATCTAATAAATATACAGTCTATTGAATGAGCTATATAGAATAATTATATTACCGCTTTGTCACAGAGCGGTAGTCAGAATAAATTAAAAAGATTATTTATATCCTAAAATCCCAACATTAAAGTTGATGTTACAACAGAATTTCTACAACTATAAGTTTTCGCCAGTGATCTTTAGTTTTTACCAGTCATTTGCCTGGTTTCACTTTGTCTGTCAAGAGCCGTAAAGCTCCCTACTAACCACTACAAACATAAGCTAAATCTTGCAAAACCTATCCAAATTTCTTTTTGGTTAGTGTCCGAATGACCTTGGGACCATCTAAAATTAGGGTCACCAAAATAATTCCCGTAAAAAAGTAGCGCAAGTGAACGTGAGCAACCAAATTGGTAGCGTAGTGAAAGAACTGCAGTATATATATTGTCATTACCTAAGATGAGAAGTACGAATGAGTCGGACTTTTCAATTTACTCGTATTGTACGTACTTTTCAATTCTACTGAAAAGTCCTCCTCTAGAAATCGATGGAAGAGTTCTAAATCGCATGTTACGGACTAATATTGAGCGTTTTCAAAAACTTGTGTTTTTATATTCCAATCGTCGATCGCGATTAACTTAAAGTTTAAATTTAAGAGAAACAAGCTGTTTAAATTAGTAAATTGTCTAGTAATTTTGTAGAATTTTTGTTTTACTTGCCTGGCCTAAGAATTCTGTGTTTAATTTGTTCGCGAACGGTATATTTTCTCTAACATCGGCAATTAACAATTACATTTTACAACGGCCCCGATGATAATAATTCAAAAACAAAAAAATTCTATCTGAATCGTACGTCGTATGAGTCGGACTTTTCAAAGTTGCGTACAAGTGCGTACTTTTCCCCCTAAACGAGTCCGTACTCCTCATCTTAGGTCATTACTGCTTGAATTGAAATGTTTCTTGACTTTCGCGTGGCAGAAGTTATGCTACTTTCCTCGTTTCAAGATTTTAAAACATAATAAGTTTTAAAGAAGTTATGAAATCCTCTGAGGAATAAAACTTAATTTTCAACCGAATTTCTTTGTATATCAGGAATGAAATTTTGATATTTCTTGCAATCCTTTCTCCAGCTCAAAGACTAAATTCTTTTGTCCAAGATATTTCAATACCCTGCGTTTAAAAGTTGAGTTCCAGCCGCATTTATTGCACCTTGAGTAGCGGATCGAATTTATGTAATCAAGATTTAATAATTCTAATTATGAGAATGACATTGAAACACATATAAGCATGTTACGTAACACACTCGGAGCGGAATTCCGATTTTATTATAGATTCTCGAATGCAGATTGGAAATATTCCTGGCTATAATAGTTAACTCCCATTGAAACAACTCCTCTCGGACGACAGTTGTTTCATTCCGTAACTTAAACTAAAATCCCGTGTTCCAATTATCCAATTAGGGTCAATAACGAATTGAAAGCCATTAGACATGCAAGGATCTGTTCCTAAAACAGAACCTAAGGACCTAGGGCGCGATTAAAGTGGTAGACTGTGTTCCCAGAAACATCAGTGAGAGTCTGGCCACCTGCCGACTGTGTTCCGAACCGGCCAGGCTAGAAACCTTGGACTACAAGTAAATCATCCTTCTAGCTGTCTATATCAGGGCGATCGCTGTAAAGCGAACCAGCTCTCAATTGTCTTAAACCAATAGCTTTTTCCTTTAAAAAGGCTGATTTTACCCGGGTAAAAAATGTAATATGTCACTCCTTGACCAGGCTGGAGTAATAGAGGAGGAGAGACCGAGCATTTTAATATCCCGTTTAACCGTTCCCAGGGTATCGTGAACAGAGGACCGGATCTTGCACAGCTCGAGTAGGAGCGCAATTATCGAGCACCGCGTGAACGAGAGCTTAATTAGCACACCATTACAAAATTGGAACTGAGCGGTGACATTCGGCGAAGTTTTGACGTTTGACTCCAGTCTTTGGTTACAAGCGGCCGAGTAGCTGGTGAAAAATTAATTAAATTTTAAGTAAAGTGAAAATGAAGATGAGTGAGGAGAAGGTGGCGACGTGGGTTGTACGATGCTTGTCCTGGTTCTGCACGTGCGACTACATGCTCCTCTACAACCTGACAAAACGTTCCCATGACAACTGAGAGGAGGAAACGGACACCTGCCCTGCATGACACATCATCGACCGAATATTTAGCTTGAAAATATTTTAATGACACACTAATTTGGGGTAAAATTGCTGTTGAAAATGGTCATTATAAGTTTAGAGGGTTGTGAAATTTTAAGTCACCAAATCCAAATAGATCACGACGGAGATAACCTCTGGTGACGAATGCACGATAATAATTCACAACTCTGCTCTTATTTTAGGCTATCGTAATTTGAGGGTACGGAAACGGGAAACCAGAAGTCGCTGATGTAAAAACACTACCAAACTATTCTGCAGGGCGTGCACTAATTTGTTCATTGAAGATGTTTCGATGTAACAGGAGGTCAGAGAGGCCGGAGGGGCGTACGTGATTGAGAATTACAGTTTTCTTCGCAATTAACAATTATTAAATATCCTGTGATACAATCTCATACATAAAATAATGGCATAATTATTTTTTAGCAACTCGATCCCCACACCTCTGCGATTGCCCCTGTCAACACGAGAGTATAGCCCCGGGACATGTCCCCCTCGAGGGTGGGGTTGTTAACGAGATTGATTAGCTAGTGATCCGCTCTCTTCTGTTTTTACTTGAACTTCAACAGTTTTTTTGGCAGTGACAACCCGACTCCAGGGTCCTGGTGTTCTGGAGGTTGACGGGGCCAGAGTGCTGAAACG